GTAGATGAGGGAGTAGCAGACGCTTCTTCTTCTCTCTTTTTCTTCCTCACTCAGTAGTCCAACATCCACGGATGTGGAATCTCTTCAATTCCCGTTTTCCCACTATCCCTTTGACCTGATCCATTTTACTTAATACGTTGACGTGCGGCATTTCAAGTAGGATCATCGCGGACATCGCACTCAAAGTGCCCGGAAAGAATTTTGCCCTATCGACCACGAACGTGCTTTCCATCAAGTATGTGGCGCAGAGCGAGATATTTAGTGGGCCAGCACGGGAAAGATACTGTACCAGTGAAGGCAGCAGGGGAACATGGGTATACAATTCTATTTGGCCCGGCATGTCAAATATAATCAAATATTCCTCGCTGAGCGGATCCAATGCCTCGTTGAGAAAATCGAGGTTCTGAAGCAGGAATTCGAAACAGTACATTAGGCCCGCCATTAGGGCCCAGACCCAGCTCTTCCATCACATCTTCAAGTGTTATCAATTCACGAATGTCCAGGTCTGGCTCGTAGGAAAAAGTCTCGGCGGCGGGGTCAAGGTTTACGTAGATAGCAGCTGGCGCCGTGTATTCTGGAAGGTGTTGTATTTAGAGCGGTGCAGAAGGTGGGTTTTGCCAGCCCCCCGCCGGGGCCCCATAACTAGGAACGCGCGATTTCGACATCTCGCGGGAGAATTGGAGGGATTCCGAGAGCCCGGTGGTACAGAGTCAAGGAACGGGAATTAGTCGCGGTTGCGCGCAGCGTAAAAGACAATCGGTGGGGCGGGACTCGTGAGGAATGGAGCTTGTGACAGTAGCACCCACTTCAGATGGCTCATGTTCGAATCCTCTCTCAGTCAGCGCATTCCAGATTGTGTTGTGTTGATTCGCGTCTACACTCCCAGCAGCTACTGCGTTTCTCGAACAATGGATTGACTATTCTGCCGCACGACACCGCCCTGTCTTGGCGCCAATGTCGCAATCTGGCGCGAGGAATGCAAACAGGGCAAACAGCGGTCGGACGCCGAACCACCAAGCCAGATTTTCCCCCACCAACCAACCACCGAAGCCGCTTTCAGCCCACCGGAAAGGATTGCTTCTGCGCTGAGAAACCCAGCCCTCCGATCCTCCCACTCAATCCATCTCCCCTCCCTTTTCTTCTCTTCCCTTCCCATCGACTCTCTCATCCTCACACTCTTCACCTCCTGCCTTTTTCTTCCGTTCTGTCAATTACCTGTCTCCTGTAATATCTATTTTCATAGTTTCTGTTTATATTTTCGACACAATGGGCTCCATTGCAAACGGTGTTCAGAGGCGAGAGGGGACTTTCCTCTTCACTTCCGAGTCTGTGGGAGAAGGCCACCCAGACAAGATTGCGTGCGTATCTCTTCATATCAATTCGAACATACTCTTGCTATCGTATCTAACAGTTGGCGCAGTGACCAGGTATCCGATGCTGTTCTTGACGCCTGTCTTGCTGTCGACCCTCTGTCAAAGGTAAATTTGCCCCTCTTCCAATAGCTGAGCTGTAGGTTCGGAGCCTAACACGAAGATGACAGGTTGCCTGCGAGACTGCAACTAAAACCGGTAAGACTCGATCAACATTAGATTCCTCCGTACTGTAATTAGATTAACTCATCCATTCTATAGGTATGATCATGGTTTTCGGCGAAATCACCACTAAGGCCAACCTTGACTACCAGCGGATTATCCGAAACGCTATCAAGGATATTGGCTACGATGACTCCGCAAAGGGTTTCGACTACAAGACCTGCAACGTCCTCGTTGCCATTGAGGAGCAGTCTCCTGACATCGCTCAGGGTCTTCACTACGAGCAGGCTTTAGAGAACTTGGGTGCCGGCGACCAGGGTATCATGTTTGGTTACGCCACTGATGAGACACCCGAATTGTTGCCATTGACCATTTTGCTTGCCCACAAACTCAATCGCGCCATGAAAGAGGCCAGATTAGACGGCAGCCTTCCATGGCTCCGCCCCGATACGAAAACTCAGGTTACCATTGAGTATGCTCATGACAACGGTGCCGTGAAACCTCTTCGCGTTGATACCGTGGTGGTCAGCGCCCAACACAGTGAAGCTATTACGACTGAAGAACTTAGAAAAGAAATTTTGAACAAGATTATCAAGAAGGTTATCCCCAGCAATCTCCTGGACGACCGAACCATTTATCACATCCAGCCATCCGGTTTGTTCATCATCGGTGGTCCTCAGGGCGATGCCGGTTTGACTGGCCGCAAGATCATCGTCGATACTTATGGCGGCTGGGGTGCTCACGGTGGTGGTGCTTTCTCTGGAAAAGATTACTCCAAAGTCGACCGCTCTGCTGCTTATGTTGCCCGATGGATCGCCAAATCTCTTGTCAACGCCGGTCTTGCCCGCCGTGCTCTCGTCCAGCTCTCATATGCCATCGGCGTCGCTGAACCACTCTCCATCTTCGTTGAAACCTACGGCACTTCCACCAAATCGTCCGACGAGTTAGTTAAGATTATTAGAGACAACTTCGACCTCAGACCTGGTGTCATTGTTCAAGAACTCGATTTGGCCAAGCCTATCTATTATCAGACCGCAAAGAACGGCCATTTCACAAACCAAAACTTCGCTTGGGAGAAACCAAAGACTCTCAAAATTTAAGCGCTATGTCCCCCCAGCGCCTTTGTACGAATTGAATGAATTTGCTTTGTTTTCAACAACTCAAAGCACGGCTATAGATGGATGATTTTTCTTCCCGCTTTCGCTTTCTTTTTTATTATCTCTCAGTGCAGGAGGCCAGTGACTGGGCGGCTTTTGCAACGAATTCAACATGTGATACCAATTTCGTTTTCTGGTTGGCGGCGTTCTGGACGGCGCGGCAAAAAGTTTCAACAAAACTTATTTGAATTTCGGTGCATAGAAAATGCAACGCATTAATTTATCAAGCTCTTTAGGAGTCGGGATTCAGCAGATCATGGGGTAGATCCAACTCGATTGGAGTGCTACAAATGGTGAAGTGGGCGTGGAAAAATCAGGATACTATTTATGCTTTACACATATAACTTCACTGCATGCTATTGCACCTGTGTAGTTATCTATCGAGTGCGAAGAAAATAAAACTGTTCAACACTCCACCACTTCCCACATGCTCCGTCGTTCTTCATTTTCGAGAAAAATAGCGAGGTCCAAGCCAAGCAAACGGATCACGTGCTCTGTATTACCTAACTTGAAACTTACCAGTCACGTAAATACGATGTGCGCGCTCCAACCGATGACGCGTGAACCGCATGAGGTCGATTAATTGATCTTCGAAATTCTGCAGAGCGTTGCATGCTCAATTCAGTTTGATAACTGATTTCCTGTGGCAATAGATAGACCAGTGGTATACATTATCTCTCATCTGTCTTCTTTCTTAAATTGCATTTCTAATTCCGTTCTTAATGAATGGCATCCCATCGAAGCGTCGCGGTGCTTGAACCTGCAACTTCAGCGTCTTTGAATGTCCAATATACCTCCCCAGCTTCGCCATTGAAAAGGAGGAAAATATCCCACGGAGACCGCGATGACAGCTTATTTCCACCTACCATCACTATCCATGTGTGTGTCGTGCGCGTCTCTAAGCATGTGTCGCTACGCCAATTCACTAATACTTAATCTAATAGCCCCATGGTCCGTCCGCAGACAGGCCGCAGACTCTCGCCCCGATCGCTTTGCTCCCACGTTCGAAGCTTCCGTTGTCATGGCTCGACCCGTTTCCGGGCTCTTCACAATCCATTCAATCGGGTAAACTCTTTATATCTAACATTTTCGCTCTCGAAACTGCACTACGAAATAAAAATGAAGGCGTCGTATTAGCGGCTCGCCTCGCTGGAAATTTTTCGAACTCCTCGGGTTCGGTAGATGATACTAGCTGCCGGGAGGAATTATATGTTATTGAAAGAGTAAAATCATGCTTATACGCAGTATATGCCTTGGCACAATGCATTCAAGAGGGGGACTTGGTGGTTGCATCCAAAGGCTGGAAACCTAAAGCAGAGGCGAACTACTCGTTCTTGGAACCAAAGACCGGAAAAGAGGATTGGTTTGAGAGAGCCCAAATTCCCGGTGCTTTCGAACACGAAGATCCCATGAATTCTGTCACCGGCAATTTGCAGCTGGTTTTTGGGCAAGCCACCGAAGACACAAGCATTAATGGGCCGTCTCATTGTACGCCGGCAGAAGCTGCGGCAATCGAATTGGCATCATTGTACGAAGCGGCTGACCAGGGAGTCGGAAGCCCAGCCGCAATTTCTAGTACCCGAGAAAACTGAAGGTATGTCACTCGCAACGATTCATGTCAAACGGTATTAATTATGCTATGACAGTAGAGAAAGCGGCCAGTTCAAGGGGATCTTTTGGGATAGCTTTGAAAACTCAATACCTCGAGACCCTTTATACCTCCAAGTAAAGTTCTAGCTGAAGTCAAGCTTGTATTCAACCTACTTATGATCTTTAGGACCTTCGTGCCTACTTTCGCTAAAGACCACTTGCTCGTGCTCGTGCAGCCTTTCAGCCCAAAGATGCTACCACAATGCGCCTTTCAGACCTCTATTATTTCTACCGAGAATGCATCGTTCCCGTAAAGAGGATAGACACTAAGTATCGTGACTCTATCCCACAAATTATACGAAATCTTCCTTTAGACATGTGTCAAGGTAATATGTTACATCCTTCATCAAACGGCAGAAGACGCAAAAGTAAAAAGAGAAAGTTGGGAAGAGATGGTTTATATCCAAACGAAGAGGAACTGATCGCAAAATGGTGGAAGCATAGAAGCGTAACGGAGTCTGCTTTAGACCAGTCTTTCGGCGATGGGGAATTGAAACGACTCATAGCAGATCTGCGTTTCCGCGAAACGCAGCTTCAAATACTTTTGATTCTTGAAACGATATCTTTGGAGAGCTCGACCGGTACAATGGAAGGAAATTCAAATTCAGAGCCACAAGATTCAAAACCAAAGAAGACTTCGCACAAAAAACCAGAGGACTTGAGTGTTCTTCTTGAATTGCTAGTGGACAGGCTATGTATATGGCATACGGTGGGCACCGATGATGCTATGCCGCTCGATGCTGTCAACAAGCAAGACAAGAGTCAACCAGGTAAAGTGGAAAATGATAAACTTCGCGATTTTTGCACGGAGGTTATTATTCCCTTCTACGCCTCCCGAGTCCCAGAGCAGTGCAAATCGCTTAGCCGCAAATTAGGCGGCCCGGTATCTACGTCACCTAAACGTCCCGCGATATCCCGCAGGAAGTGCTCGACAGAAACGGCCGACGGCACGGTCAATCGCCCCATTCAAAAGCCTCGTCGGACATTGCAACGCGTGCTGACTGACGAGAAAATGGCCGCAGCTCGCGTTGTTCCCTCCTTGACACGCAGCAAAACCGACACGTGTGCACGAGAACTTAAAAGAGAATCCAGTGAATCCGCTTCCCTATCGTTGATATCAAGCGGACGGGGCGCGATCCAAAAACCTAAGCGCCGAGATAATCGGGAAGTTGATCTCGATGCCGTTGCGAAACAACATGAAATGAAGCTCAAAAAGATGGCTTCGCTGCTTGAACAGAAACAAGAGCTCGATGCCGCCATCAACGCTTTAAGAAAACCTAACAGGGAGCTGGTATCCCGAGATTGGGTTGATTCTGCGGCGAAAAGAGCTTCAACCGGGAGCTTAAGGAAGCAAAAGGACCCTATCAGGAACCCGTTTGGTGAAAAGGTGCAGGTAATGGCGACACCAAGAGGTGCTAGAAAGAAGGATCTGGGAATGGTCAGAGTGCCTTCTCTATCAAAAAAATGGGAAAGGTTGAAGCAAGAGACAGCTTCATCTCCATCATTAGAGACCGATGAACAAACCGTTCCCTCTTCTGTGCCACGCCATTCTTTTGAATTAGGGCGCAATACGTCTACAGCCATTCCTAAGTTTGTTCAAGAAACTCCCTCGAAACCTATCTTGCAAGCACCCGGGCTCGTCCAACCTGATTTCCTGAATACTGGTGAAAACTCTTCCAAAGCTCACAAAATATTTCGACAATCCCAGCATAGCTTGCCTGTGGCCAACATTACCACTCCCACTAAACCTCGGGGAAGCGGGAGCACCGATGAGGTTTCAGCTTGTTATGTAGCACATGGCATTCGGAACGGGAACCCGTTTGCTACCCCTTGTGGTATCAAGGAGACCCCGCCTCAATCTCTCCTACGTCGTTTCAATACATCACAAAGCTCTATAAGTGCGTCGGCTTCGCCATTGAAACCCGCAGACCCGGTGATATTCAGCACACCGGCGAAGCGAACTGAGCTGGTAGTTAGCCAAAGTACATCTAACAAATTTCAAGGGACTATTGGGCTGCGGCATGGCCAATCAGAATCTATATACAACCAACTTGGATGGGATGGTGACGACGACGATGACGATGATGACAATGATGAGCTAGCATTGCCATGGAGTAACGGGGTAAATGAATATTAACTCTATCATGTATGTCTTCGCTTTGGTAATATGTTGCATTGTTTTGGGTTTCTCGTCTTTCTTTGGGCTCCATCATTTTCTTTTTAAAAAGATATACCCACTTATAAATGCGGTTGCAAATCCCGTTCTAGAGCCTAGAGATGGTCCTAGAACTAAAATAGCACTGAAGGGGAGCATGAAAACAAACCGAGGAGCACATAGGTTTGTTAAAAATGTGTGAAATCCCCCTTGCCAGAATGCCCTCAAATTCCGCTGAAATATAAATCGAACTCGACGACCTGCAGTGGTATCTAATGCCAATATGCGAAACTGGACTCAGGCCCTAGTAGCAAGGATGCTGTTCTCTGTATGTATTTATGTATGTACTAGACGAAGTGCATCCATGAACTTCTGATGCTACAAAATAAAAGAACTTAATCACCGCCTAGAAGATTCTCTCTGAGATCACAATAGCGCCTCAAATGCAACATCGTTAAGCACTTACCACTACTCATCGACCCGATCGACAGTCCTGCCCAGCTGCCTAAACGTTCCGAAGTGGAAGTTCGCGTGTTTGGGCTGTGGCCAACGGAAATATGCAAGGTCGAAAAGTTGTCAAACCCTACTTGCAGACTTTTGAATTGGGCTCCGGAATATGCCAATTCTCTTCATAGAGCAACCATTCAGACATCAATAGGTCTCAAAAAATATGCTTGACCATACTGCTTTTATGATAGAGCCCCAATCTTCCTTGGATTGGTATGGCAAAGATGATTGAGCTCTGCTAGCCCAGCGAAAGTCCCGGTGCAGTTTGTATCTAAAAAATTAGCCTTTGCCGTAAAGAGTTGTGATTCGTAACTTTATCACATCGGGGCTTTCAAATACATTGACAAGAATCAATTATTGAATTGCCAGGCCAACTACTCTCTTTGAAAGGATTGCCTTTCTCCTCAAAGTGTCTAACCTTAACGGCTTTTCCAGCAATTCCTTCTCACATTCATCTGGTGGGTCTTGAATATGCATTTCATGGATATCTTGCTTCCTGTGGTAAAAAGCTCAGAGCACTTTTTAATGACCAGCCCTTCAGCGCATACGACCTACAACAAGCTTTCCTGTTGACAACCGATGCGCCCCAGAATTCGTGATATAAGCAATCAGCTATCCCTATCTCCAGACGCACTAGCTACATCCTCCTGCTGAATGGCTTCAATATTAGCTAAAGGCTCGAGAATGCGCCCTTTCATCCATGGCCAATAGACATTTTCTCCCCAGGACTTGATCTCATCGATAACCATGAAAAGTCGGAAAACACCCTCAAAGGTCAACGTGTCACCCATAATAATGGGACCATACATTGTCTAAATTTGGTCAATAGTGTCAGCGCCATTAGAAACAGTGATCGGTACAAGACAAGGAATCTTACCACAGTCCCATCTTCTGCTTTGGCTGTTATCAGGAGGTTCCAAATGTGACCAGTTACACTAATCCCAATGAAGGGTAATAGTATGTCTCCTTGCTCCGGTTCCTTTGAGATCTGTTCTGCTTCCTCCTTCAACTGTCTGACCTTTTCAAGCCCAGCTGCCATCCATGTCACCAATTGGACACTCGAAGGCAAGTAAGCGCCGTCAGGTGTTTTAACCTCAACCGCCACAAAGTGTGGGGTAGACCCGACCCGGGGATCTAGGGTTTGAGATAGTGACAAATCTCTTTGACTTTTTAGAGCAGCGGAAGTCAGAGGGCCAACGTCTCCATGTTTCGATGAGAATGAAATAAGATAATCCACCTTTTTGAAGGGAATTAAATGGTCAACTTTAGGCATCAAATCAGATGGAGCGATCGAAATGTTGTGGCTGGAAGGTAGCTTTTATTAGTAATTGAAGTCTGCGCGAACGATTGTTGACCAACAGGGGACTCACACCGGGACAACACTAAGGAAGCTGGGCACAGTTTCATCCGTAGAAATAAACCTCTTTAAGATTTCTGAGGCACTGATTGACCATGTATCTTCATCTCCAAGGTCCTGAAAAGCTTCGTCTGCCAAACGATAAGCTGTGTTTATGGCCCGAAAAAGCTCTTGACCTTGGGCTGTAGGGACAGCTTGCTCGCCACGATCTAGTTCAGATACCGCGGCTTCCATGGGATATCTTTGTTGAAAAAGGTTTCTAATAGTAAGTCGGTGGATTAGCATTCAGAACCAGAAAGTAGGATAGAAGAAGGAACTTGCCTGAGCCCTAGAGGCATTGGCTTTGTCCTGCGTTGGAGGAATCTTTGGAACAGTTTCGATATCATGGCCGGCTTATTCTCCGAGCGAAAAGAGACGCACTTTACGCTTGATTGCGCATATTTAAGCATCAAAAGCTGTCTTCTCGAAGATTTTGCTGAAGTCGCGAAGGTTGAGTAACTAGTTCTGGTATATAAAATCAGCTCTTGCATGGCGCTTCCCGTTTTGATTTGTCGTCTTACCCTGCAACTTCATCGGGGAACTCTGTCTCTTCATTTGTTCTTCTCCGTTTTGTTCCACGAGTTGGTGCAGTTGGAAGCAGAGCCTTAGAGAGAGGTTTCCCTTGTCGAGCTGTTCTGGATTGCTGTTCAGTATAGATTACTCGAGGACGAGGGCGCAAATTATGCCTGTTGTTGGATTCCATGTTTGATTGTGTGGAAAGGTTCGGTTGCTGCTGCTTGTGAAATTGACGGAGACGTGAGCTAGATTTGATTCTCTTTTTCTCTAAACATGATGCGAAGTGTTGGTGCGGGGTATCTGTTGTGTTATCGAGACTTTCGAGCCAGCCTTGTATATATTCTGGTTTTGAAATCCGTTCCATTTTTGGCATAGAAGCTGATGCCAGCCACAACCCAGCAAGATAGGCAAGTCCACCCCTTTAGATTTTCTTCGTTTTCACCTGCTTTTCTACTTCCTCTTCTTCATTTGATTTCTCTTTGCCTAGCTACTAAGAGTAGCTATCAAGTGTAAGGATCTGAACCGGGTCTGCGGGATGTTTTGACGATATTGATATGCAAGCAGTATGCAACGTCTTTTGGCTAACATGCGAGAGGCAAGATGTATGAGAGCGCATTCCCCAAAGTCCAGTTATAATACGTCCGCTCCCTTTTCAATCAATTTGTTGAATCAAGCATATAAAACAGCTGCGTTTCCGCAAACCTGGAGCTGAGAGGAAGCGAGTCTTATGACGTATCCCGTCTTTTCGGTTCCGTTGGGAGTTTAAAGAGCTTCCATAGAGTTAGTGTTTAACATTGATTATCTATTCCTTCTAACAGCTTTGAGGTGCAACATATACTTGCTATTAACTGACCAAGTAGTAGGTGCATGGCTGCTCATCATTTGGCATGGGTGCATGTTTGATACTCAAAAACAGTCTGACTCCACCCGCACCTCAGCTTCAACTTGGTAACTACCACGAGCTAGTTAGTTAATTAGTCCATAGTAGAATGGCGGTTAATGAACAACACCATTGAAAGCAAGTCAATTCCATGAGATCCTTTTTCACCAATTGAATCAGAACAGCTGATGATGGATGGATGGAGGTCATGATTCCCTAATTTGGTTTGGCTTGCTATTAAGTTAACTAGTTAGTTAACTAGCCAACGGCACGTTAGATAACTACTAGTTAATCAACGAGTGAGCCTTGACCTGACAGTCGAGTGGACTTTGGATGCTCAAAAAGCCTTTGATTGTCGCTAAATGGAGGGTGTGCAGGTTGCTGGGGCCAATCCATTCCTATCTTGCCAACTTACGATGCGTTTCTCCTGCAACCATTGATTTCGTTCGTGATACGTGAAGCAACGGGAGGGAATCTTTCGTGCTACAGGCTATGGCGCAGATATGCGCTGAGGCGCCCATGTATGTAGTCCGGAGCGGAGTGGACACGGTTTCTGTGTCTCACAGAGAGGAAAACTGTTGAGAAAAATAAAAATTAAGGTGGCACCGTGTGTCGGAAACGGCAAAGGGTGCTTCTTGGTGTTACAATCTCATACACCAGAATCTAGGACCCTGTGCTCCGTGAGGCAAGGGGCTCTCAACCGCAACCACTAGCTACCAGACGCGCATGGGTTTGGCTGCGGAAGCTTCTCCAAGCCGCCGAATCCTATTCAGCCCCCTTCCGGTTGGGACTACTTCGTACTGAGCGGAGAATTTGATGAAGAGCTCAAAAGACGGATCATCCGTCCGTCCTAACTTATCCCCAGTTGATTATCAAGAGCAGTGCATCCTTTTGCTCTACCGCCTGCTTTTAGGTTGAATTCGTTTGTGCTCTTTCTTTTTTCTTTTGGGACCCAGCAGGGAACAGGTATTATACCCAGAGCAGTTCGGTTCCACGGCACAGGGAAACAACCCATGCAAAGAAGCGACACCCAAAGAGAAAAATTCGGCAGACTATTCGACCGCGATGTCCCGGCGCTAAAAGGTGGCCACTGTCAATAAACCTCCGATTCGATCAATTTCCAGAAATGCCCGTGCAGCGACTAAGTTCCTTTTCATGCTCCCGTTATTGATTCAACCTATGATAGTTTAGAGCCGAGTTAGACCCCGACCTTCAGATCAGGTGTTTGCATCTGTGTGTTTAGCACCTAATGGGCTTGAGCTGGGATTCATGTGGAAAGCGGCTCCAAACAAAATCTCGGAGGCGGCGGAGGACAGCCTTGCACTGGCCCTCGTTCCACCATGACAAGCGGTTTTGGAAAGATGATGCACAAGGCCTCTAGGGAGCAAACAATATTCCAACATAGTGTTATAATCTTGGTTGTTATACGACAAGGTATCCTTCGCTATCCGGTCATATGTCGCAAAACATCAGCTGGCTAAGCATGTGCCTAGAACCTCACTGCGTAACTGCGCTTCTATTGCCGAGCCCTTGCCTCTGGTTTACGGCCAGGAGCTTGTTTGATGACGACCCTACGGTCGTATTCCCTTTGCTCCCCATTAATACCCAGAAGTTCAGTGCAAAGGGAGGTATACCCGAGGACAAAGGCGAGTTACATTCGCGTTTATGTAGCAGTGCATGCTGTCTACCCAAACAATCCAGGTTCGGGTCTGAGGGGAGGGTCTTCAGTTGACGATCCTCACATTCCTGCATGCTACACTTATCATTTAGTCAGGTGATGCAGCGCTCGTCTTTCTCCCCCTTCTCCCTTTCTTTCCTTTTTCTTCTTCTAGTTTGTTTCAACATGATCCTTGTGGGAGTCCTCTAGGTGATTGACGCAACGAATCGAAGACTACGGTCAATCAAAGAACCGCTGCATGTGCCACTTTCGGGCTTCTCTCAGCCTGACCAAGGAAGCAAAAGGGCTCCGCATCCGGAAAATCTTTTTTATGACATGAAGCATCAAGAAACGCGAGTCAATGACACACGAAGGATGAAGGACAGGACTCGAGGCCCGCAAAGCAGCTCGTCCAGTCAAAAGCTCGGCTTTCTCGGATACCACTGATTAAACAATAAATTCATGGTCCTTGCCACCGATTGGCAAGAACGGGGGAGTCATGGGATCAAAAACACTGCACAAATTGAAAAGAGGCAAACGCCCTAGACCAACTTCCTTGAGCCGATGGAAAAAAGAGCGGAATCTGGATCGAGCCGTAGATCTCCCAAATTATGGATTACCATGAAGGTAGGATTGTTTGGTATGATACTCCGCCATCCTTTTCGGTTCCAAAGGAAGGAACCTAACCAAGTCGGATAAACTCGCGGGTTACCTGGGAAGATGATCAAGCATTCCAGAAAGCAAAACCGCAGTTAACCCCAATGCTGGTCATACTGTCGATCTCGTCTGTGGCCTTTGAGCTTGAGAATGACTGGAAACGCGTGTTTTCCGCTGCCGGTGGGCATCGCGCTTTGCAGCTACTAGGCACATTTTGTTTTTCGTCCCGGCTTGTTTTAGTGGACCATCGACTGTGGAGCCGGTGTGTACGTCTATACATATCGATGGCGGAGTAGGCTCGGTTGTTTAGTTGGGCGCTAATCACAGCCTTGCAAGCGGCTCCCTCACGACATGGTGAAAAGTGGACACGCCGGGATGTGCCTCCGGGCTGGTTATTGGGAAGAAGAAAAAGACGAGAAGGATACGAGGTGAGATGTAAATCATCACCCTGTTCCTTAGAATTCAAAAGTTACACGAAGTAAAGAGTGCTTTCTCTTGTTTTCACATGCGACTCTACCCAGGCAGCGCTGGCCAGTAATGACGCGGAGACGGGATCTGCACGGGGACATTTGCGGGTTCGATGTATCGACAGGGTCATGATTCAAAACATCCGGCTCGGGGATTGGAGCTGCGTCCAAGGCTATGTAGCGAAAAAAGCGCCGGACGTTGGCCATGAGTCTTTAGGTTATCATCATTAGAACCATGAGAATGGCGGAGTTGGACAGAGAAGTCAAAATCGAGCACATGAGCTGCATACGTACTCCACTTTTGGCTCAAGGCAGATAGGGCGGATGCGAGATGTCATTCACAAGGGTGCGGGGCCCCTGTTACTGTTGCTTTTTTTCAGGCTAGATGTGGTCTGGAGTTTTGCGAGGCACGGGGGAGAGAAGGAAAAGAGAGGATAATGGCGAAAGACGATCCTGTTGCCTTGGAGGTTTGGGAGAAGGTGGAAATGTTCGCATTGGTGGCGACACAGGATGTCGAGACTATGAGTGTCTGGATGTCTATATGGACGTATGTAAGGACATACATACATAGCCTACCCCGCTTTGCTGAAGAATCGTCTTCGCCGGGCCTAACGAAGCAAGCAGTTGCATATGACGAACAAGAGTGTACAGTTACCACATTCAGGTCCAGCGTAACCAGAAAGAGAGGTCGATGGGACGTGGGAAATAAGGGAGACTAGATATTGGATGGGCGGATGATCAACCATGCTTCCTTCATCAGAAGATCTGTCACTAATTATACTCATTCGAGCTCCGGACTCCGAAGGAAAGCCATTATTTGGGATGATGATGGACTGCGATCCTGGCGATGATTTGCAGCGGGATCCCAGCGGGTGCACGGATCGCCGAGCCACGGGTCATGGGTTTTTCCGTTGCCAAATTTGGAAATCTGAGCTGGGAGACCCATCATGGGCAGGACCGGGTGTTTGCCAGCATATTGACGCTGAGCCAAGAACGGTCGATCACGTCAGCCTGCACCCCCAGCATCCAATCACCGGGCCCAGATATGCCAAGCCTAGCTGAGTCATCGAATGCCATGGCGGCTAGATTCCAAAGTGGCTTAGCGCAAGGAGTTCACGAGTCCGGGCGCAGACGGAGCACATGACCTGCCTCTTGTCTTTTCCCCTCACTTGCTGTTTTGGGCGGCCTTGCTCTCGCTCTCTTGCAATCACAGAGTGTGTGCGCTTTTTATCTCTCTCTCTCTCTCTGACAATATCAGCTTCATTCATCGCGGTTGTGCAGAACCACCGACCCCGTCCATGCACACACACTGAAACCAAAAGCAAATATGCCTGCTGAACCCTGCATCTGCTGTCACCACACCTCATAGTTCAACTACCCACACACCCACCTCCAGACAAGCTCTGTTCCCAACACGCACTCCCCGCAGCCTAAACCCCTCTTATTAAGCAGCTTGCTCCGAGATTCTGTGTTAATCATTATTATTCCCGCTGCCATCTTATCTGAACTCTTGTCTTTCGGGTTGAACCAGCCTGCATTCGCCCTCTGATTTGGTTCCCCAGATCGACCCTCAACTTCCGGGCCTTGCCGTGTTGCTTCCCATATCCCTACCCTCCGTTCTTTTTTGAGTTTGCTGGTCATCGCGTCCGTCTTGATTCCCGCCGGCCTTTTTCCAGAGGGCAGTGCGCGCGGCTCTTTCCGCCACCAACAGACAGGCCCTCGACTGCACGCAAAAAACACCAGGGAGAAAAAAGAAACGAAAAGCAAGGGCTCCACTCCCGAGTCGACAAGGGCAGAAAATTCGCGAATGTTACTGCATCATCGTCATCATCATTATTGTCTATCAATCATCACCGTCATCTCTTCAACCTCTGTGCATTTCTCGCCACTGTTCTCGCTGCTCTTCTTCCGCGAAACGAGACGCGACTCGGTCCCTCGTTCTTTGCCATGAGTCGATAGCGCTGCCACGTTTCAACTCGCAAATCCGACGCTGGGGATCGAATCCTTCCCTAGCCCAACTCCATCGAAATATCAAAAAGTACTCCGTGCTCTGTGCTGATCAAGGGTTAGTTCACCAGCTCTTTCTGCGTGTCTCGCGTCATGTTTCTCTTTTTGTTTTGGGCTTTGTCATCTCTTGCGAAACATCCGACTCAGCTCTTCGGGCTTTTCCTCCGAAGGCTCCTACGGATCTCTGTCCCCTCTCTCTGTCCCTCCTCCACCCCCATCGAGATCTTCAGACGTTGTGTTTATTCCGTTGTTTCTAGCACCATAAGCTACTACTTCTAGCAGCGATCCAACTTCATCCCAGCACATCTTGATCTTGTCTCTCAGTCCTCTCCGCTTTGGACAGCGTGGCGTGTTTCCATCGCGCATCGTCTTGTTTGATCAGCAAGCGCGCCGTTTTATTGATTCCATCGCCTCAGACCCTGGGCTTTTCCCTCCACTCTGTTCATTCGTTGCTGCTTCAAACCCCACACCCTCCCCGCCAGCGCGCAAACCTTTTTCTTTTTCTCCCAGACCCTTTTGTTCGTGCTTTCTGGACCCCGCTCCCCCCTCCCTCTCCGTCCTCGCAGCGGGATCTGGACCTTGGGTACGGGTACCTTTTTTCTAACAACTCCTAGCATCTTGAGTTTGGGCGGACTATTTTGATCCACTGTCATCACCCCTCGGCGCCATGTACACTACTTCCACCTCCGTGCAAGGGTCCCTAAATGGCCTAGGTAGCGACCTTGTCGATGGCTCTGGCACCATCAACCCCGCCGCCCTCAACAACCCAGGTGTGTTTTGATAACTCATTACTACTACTACTGAAATTGCGCCTGAACCCTTATCGTTGCCTACCCTTTGTCTTTCTTTTTAAGAAAAGAATTAATAATCGTGTATTCACTTTTTCCCTCTTCTTTCGTCAAAATTTTCTCCTATGGTGCTAACTTCATCGCATCCAGCCACTCTCCACTCATCACCATTGAGCGCCCCTGTTGCTCCTTCGACGACCAACGACGTCCCGACAACCGATAATTCCCACGTTAGCGGCCTCACCCTCACACGAGGCATCAAACGCGGCCGTTCAGTTGACCAGAACGACGAACACGCTGAGGGTGATGGTGTTGAGGATGGTACGTCGGCTACATGTAGTACCCTTTCTCTTTGCTCCCTTCACATTTTCACTCGCGGTCCGGAGGAACTATTTTGCGTTGGCTTTATTTTTATGCATCATTTGGAATAGCCTTGATCAACTAATGATGAATTTTGACTCTACAGATGAACAAGTTCGTCGCAAACGAGGAAGACCACCAAAGCATCCACGTCCATCTGGAACAACCCCAACGTCGAGCCCTCTCGCCTCACAGAAACAAACGAGGCCATCACTACCACAACAACCTCAGACCCCACAACTCTCCACGCAACGACTCCCGCACATGGCTAACACCCCAGCTTCACAATCATCCCCTCCACCCCGAACGACACCTACAAAACCGGTCATCAAAGCCTTGCCCACTGTCCGAGATCATACCACCGACCAATTAAGCCCGGAAGGAGATGAATATATACCCAAAGAATATGATACAAACGGTGAGAAGAAAGTGGATGCGCTTGGATATCTTCAAAACGGGCGTACCTATAAGTGCCGCACCTTCCGTGTCCATAACAGGGGGCAAAAGCTTTTCATGTTAGCTACAGAATGTGCTCGGGTTCTTGGGTACCGCGACTCGTACCTTCTCTTCAATAAAAACCGATCGCTATATAAAATTATCGCCAGCCAGGAGGAAAAGGATGATCTAATCACTCAAGACATTCTCCCGTATTCTTATCGCTCCCGTCAAATTGCGATTGTTACCGCAAAATCCATGTTTCGCCAATTCGGCAGCAGAGTTGTAGTGAATGGTCGACGGGTACGTGACGATTATTGGGAAAGTAAAGCCCGAAAACAAGGCTTTACCGAAGAGGACTTGGCAGGAGAGAAGCGTCCTGGAGGGGCCAAAGCTAGAGAAGCAGCTGAAGCAGCGAACGCTGGGGCGCTTCCAGCTCTTGGTCACGGCGATGTGATTTATAGCAACGCCCCCCCTCCGGATGGGTTGGTGCAGGCCCCTGGGTTACCACCCGGCCTGACAACGAGCCTAGCACCCCTTCCAATGATTAGCCCTGTTCCTTCGGATGACCCGCGGATGAGAGAGTATAGCAGCATGCCGCGGCCACGACAAGAGATGGCGGGACAGCCCTACCAGAATCGCATCCAATCTAGTGCCACCCCTGAGTTAATAAACCAGGCTTCGCACACAACAGAATTCAGTAAGGTTTTGAATCAGCAACGAGGATTTCGGGGGAGAGGACTGGAGGATAGCTGGTTCAAATCGCGAGATCTACCAACTTCTGACCAAAACTTACCCCCGTTATCCGGCCAAATCGAACCGAATTTAACCACGTCCCAGACGCTCCAGTCTCCGCAGTTGACTTCTTCGGGAATACTATCATCTACCCCGATTCCACAGCAGCCACAGCATGTCCTTACACCACAACCCTCTTTCACACAATCCTCGATAAACCATTCTATGCGTGGAATATCGCAAAGCATAAGACCCGACCAGTTACATCACCGCGCCACTAATAATACTCTTTCTTCAGTGGGCACGAGCCAAGCTCCGTTATATACATATCAACCACAGCAAATGTGGGGACAGCCACCCCCTCAGCCCATAGGGACGCCTCAGTTCAATCCTCAACTGCATTCACAGCAATCACCGTCTCCTCATTTGCCACCGCATCAATCGCCGCGACACCTAAGCCGCCCTAGCCCGTCTCCTCAGTTGCATTCCCAGGCGCAGACCCATGGCCAGCAGAACCTTGTTGCTGCTGGCTATCCGAGCAATACAGGAACGTTATACCCGTCAATGGCTGCTCCAAGGGGATCCTATTCGTCAGCGGCTACTGTAGGACAGCCTTACATTTCAAGCCAAAGCCCACAGCCAAATATAGGTCTGGGAATGGCCACCAATGCAACGCTTCCCGGTTGGCCGTCCACGGCGGGAGGTTCTTTACAACCCGGTCAATCTCAAGCAGGTGCCTCGCAAACCGGATGGCCGAGTACATTTTGAACATGGGGGTTCCATACTTTGATTCGCGAGATTATGTTTATACGCACACAGCATGGGTGTTGGGTTTGCATATGTACAGATTTTTGGGTGGTGATATCCCTAATTCTTCGGTTATTCTCCCTTTGCCCTTCAGTAGCCTAATTTCCCTACCACTCTACCTGATTCCTTGTCTTCTTGATTTGTTTTAAAACCTATTTGGTCTCCCGTCTTCACCTCTATTGTGCATTTCAGGACCCTAACTAAATTGATGCTATACACGTGGATTTTTATTATTCCCTTTTCCTTCTCAAACACTTTGATTTTTGGCTTTTCATTTGTATTATGCTTGCGCTTCCCTTTTCTGGTGTGTCTGTGATTTGGCTCCTTTTCTTGTATAGGAATTCGATTTAGGCTATTGTCAATACTTTTGACTTCTTCTTATCCACGTATCTCAACTGCCTTGCCCCCAAAATACGACCTTTGTTCCTAATTATCTTCTTACCCTGGAAGGATTGATACCCCATTTCTTGTGGCTTGTGCTTCACTGATTTATTCACCGCAGATAGTAATAACAGAGGTAACACAACTCATTCCTATGAAAGAGGATTTTGGGGATTTTGTTCTGCTTGCTTGAGGGCTAGTTCAGATTTGATTGACAGAGACTAGTTTTATACAAGTGCTTTCTTGGCCTTTTACATATTATATCTAGCACTTTAATCACTTGTAGCTTCCTTTACCGTACCAAATGTCGAGCAGAGAAACGGAACAAATTCGAAGCTTGTACGGAGCTACTTGTATTATAATTACCATGAGAATTATTTCATATCCTATCCATCACAGAAGAAACACAAGAGGGAGGGGGGGATTATTAGATGGGAAGATGTGAGAAAATGATAGCCTTTTGTAAACTCATTATGTTCCTGCTCTTAAAACACCGTCTGAGGACGGTCTCGCACATCGAACAGGCATGTCAGGATTAGGTAACACTAAAAGGAAATTCGACCAATAATGTAGAGTTCAGGATATATAGAATGAAACAGCGAGGTGGTAGCAGGAAGCGTCCTGAGAAGGAATCCTGGAGGTTGAGATTGAAACAAGAGTAATAAATAGGGAATGACTGGGGCAGCTATTAATTCCGGCCGACGACAAAACAAATCAAAGAGGGAGAGGTAAAAGCCTGATAGGGCGAAAACAAAAAGAGTTAGATATTAATAGTTAATATTGTATAATGATGGGGTAATAGCTTGCAAGATTAACCAGAAAACAAAATTCCAACCGAGTCCCATTCACACGTGGTCATATACATTCCGCAAGGGGAGGCTCTTAGTTGAGGGAAAAAAAGCCGTTTGATAGCAGCCAGAGGCCCTCTGGCAGGGAGAAAAATATGTATGCACCCCCAACATAAACTTAAGAAAAGTTGGAATCAAGCAGAAACCCTAAAAAAGGCTGCATGCCAATAATAATGTTCATTTCACAGGCCCCGAATCAAAAATCAATTGGGGACTGATTTGTGAACGTGAAGCTCTCTGGTTTCTCAGAAGGCAGGTGTTGTGTGGCCCTGGTTTTCCTGCTGATTGAAAATATCCTTGATCAATAATTCAGCATTGGGCTTCTGTGCAAGCGACGAAGACGTCGGTTGCGACGGAGATGACGGAAAACTGGTTGACAAATCTTCCCCATTAGCGATGTGTAGGCCATAAAAGTGGCTTTGGTGGGCAACAGGAGAGATATAGGTCGGTTTGGGCATGTGAATTTCTGGCATCGATATATTTCCTGGGACCAAAGCTGGTTCGGTCCATAAATTATTCTGCATGAGATCATGCGATATTGGAAGCGAATAATTCTCATAAACCGTCGAGACTGTAGATGCAGATAGGGATGGGGCCAAGGATTGGTAATGGAGTTGCGATAAGACATTGGGCGGCTGCGGGGTTCTTGGGGGTGACTGATTTTCTATATAATGCTGCACTGGGAATGGACGGTGACACCGCATTTCGTCGGTCGGTGAGAGGCAGTATTGTACATCGTTTGGAGTTGGGGGAAGTAGGTACTGGAGGCCCTCTGGCGTTAGTGGAGTGGGCGGTGCCATGCTTGTGGCAACCAACGGAGGCACCATGAAGTCCGCACCGGGATAAGATGTCCCAGTAATGTCCAGTGAAGCTGCCATTCCAAGAGGCGAACGGAGCGGAGCCGAAACTTTACGAACTCCCGCATATCGCGGGCTTAAGTTGGAGCCAAGGCTCTGGGAGGATTTGGCGTGTCGTAATGAGTGAGATACTCCCCATGAGGGTGTTCTCGCGGTTGGGGACATAGAGGACGGCCCAATCAAAGCGCGATTTGGGCCACCAATTCCGATGGCAGCGGGACGAGGCCGTTTTCGACGTGCTGCAAGATCCAGCTTCTTATCACGGCGATGCGGAAAGACGCTGGTATTTGACGGAGAGATCTTGGGGCCGTGCGATTCTTCCTCTGAGGACTTCTCGGTGATAGAAACGCTTTCAAGATGGTTTCCAGGACCCGAATGATCTATATGGTCCGGTGGGCAAGTATCCTGCCGACTGACTGCTAAACCCGAAACCCCAAAGGTGGGGATTTCTGACGCTGGGTACGACTCCATGAACGACCCGCCATTAGGATACAGCGAATCCTTTGGCAACTCAGAAGGTAGCTCGCACGTATTGTATGACACGCGAAATAATGGCTTTCCCACATGGCTTGACTCTTGGGACCATCCTGTAGTCGAGCTGAAGTCATCGCATTGCGGTGAGCTAGACGATTGGCTAGCATCCATGTTTCCTGTGCTGGAAGCATTACTGGAATGAATAACATCCCACGTTGAAGGCGTCGAAATGGGTAAATCAGTGGCTAAGCTACTTGTATACTGCTCTGACGCCACACTGTCTTCTCGTGCTAAACAGCCATAATCGCCGTTAGCCTTTTTTGTTGTATTTGTTTTTTCGCTTTGGCCATGTGAGTCGCAGCTCTGACCTGAAACACTCGTGTCTTCCTGGTACGTAGGATGAGACCGTGTCGATGAACCGCTGCGTGACTCCGAATCAGAATTGCAATCGTTTTGGGTCGACAACTGGGATTTGGTAGGCAAGGGGGTAAGGTTGTCCACAGTCTGGTTTCCTTCGGTCCGAGAAAGGGTTTCTTTTCCATCTGATGTTGAAGACTCTCCAACCTTTGGCATTTCGGAATCTTTCATTGCTTGCATCCTTTTAAATTCCTCTTGACGCTTTTGTTGTTTTTCCTTCGCTCTCCGGTTCTGGAACCAATTCTGTAAAACAAGACAGGTCAGTTCTCTGCTATTTCCCGATCTTCACCGTGGTACGTACTGCAACTCGCGGTAGAGTCAGATTTGTTTGTACAGCTAGCTGACGTTTGATATTGCTAGTAGGTTTCGGCTGAGCCTGAAATTGCGCCTCCAGAGTCTCGACTTGTTCTTTGGTTAAGCGAGGTCGTGATAGATTTTCGACGTACTCGTCGTAGTCTTCAAAGGGTCCCGAGTGGGCGTAGAAACCGGGAAACGCGGAAATTTCGGCGGGATGGTAGGAGGCAAAGTAAGGATCAGTTGGCTGGTTACACTGGGAGAACGAAAACGGGACGCTGTAGCCGATCGGCGGATGGTCAAGAAGGCCAACATTGTGTTCGCCATAAGCGAAGGGGTTGTTCATATAATCCATTCCGAATATCTTTTCAGGAACAACCCAAATTGCAACTTCTGCTGTGATTACAACTGGGGAAGCCTGTCAATATTCTAACACATCACTGCGACATCAATTGACAAAGTATAATAGTCCTATGGAGTATATGAAAGAGTAAAAATAGGTCTGAAATCTGGAGGGAAAAATTATTTCTGACAACACAGTTAGCATGGACGAGGCCGAAACGAGTGGCTGCGGTGAAGGCAAATGTCAAATGAATGGAAACGGAAGTCAGATTAAAGAGTGTCAAAAGCGAAAAGAGCGTGGAAACCAATAATGACTGACAGGAACAACGAGGAAAGAAAGAGGGTGGTGGTGCGTGTATAGCCGGTGAGGTCGTGAAGTGTCGAAGGGAGTGGAGGTTTGGTGCGAGGAGAGCGATGACAAGGAGGAACAGCCAAGAGTTGACACTCGGGTTGAATTGCTGGTAACTTTCCGTTAAGCTTGGCCTTTGCTCGGGGGGTCCGGGGTGGGTGTTGTGCATGCCTGGGGGGGCCCCCTTTCGGGGCTTGTCGGGGAGGCGACCAGCAGCAGAGCGTCAACTTTCAGGTGCGTGACCGCCCAGGGCCTCCGGGCACGACAGGGGTCCCAGGGGTCCCGGTGCTGATTGGCTGGTTCCTGAGCCGGCAGGCGGCAACTGGCTCCAGCAATACGACCCGAAGCGGGAAGGTCGGCCGTGACGAGTCAAAGTCACTGACGCAGCACTGCAGCTGGTCCCTTTCTGCTTGCGATCCAGGTCATCATCTCACTTGTCTTCCCACCGCCAAACAGACCACCTGTCACTTCAGCAAGCCACCCCAGCTTCAATCCCTGTTCCGCGACAGAAGCAAATCCTCGTACGGAGAACACTCGTCTGACAACCAATTTCGACTCGCCAGTTGTGTTTCCCCCTGACAGATTTTCTGCGAAAAGATTTGCACAATGGAGGGCAGAGTTGTTCGCGACCTTTCTCGTGTATTTACCCTTGAGTGACAGGTCGAAGGGCGGTAACGAGCCGGTGGCCATCTTCCGTCGCTATCTAATAGGGTCAAGGGACAAAGGTATTTGCGATGGGTTGTACAACGCTGTTGATGCATGATATGCATTATAAGATTTCGTGCGTGGAAGCTTGAGAAAGGCAGAACTGCCGCCCACGCGTACTTTTGGTACGTACAGCTACTAACCACATATCCCAACCGAATTTTTGGGTATTCCGAGCTTTTGCTTTGAAATTTTGATTTTGATTTTTCCGAGACCTGCGGTGCGGAATTCTCTATTATTTACTATCTAGTCATCCAGCGGAGCAAGAAAGGGTTTCCAAATCGTCGTTTCACTAGCAAATGGCGTTGTTCAGCTCGCAAAAAACCAAATGGTTTATCCGGATTAAAACAGACCGACAATCCCCTTGAAGCTATTGCAAACAGTTCTGTATCTCCACTTGCACCTGGCCGTTGCTCTTTATTAACTTGAAACTCCGAAGATCCCGGATGATCCAGTCAGCTCCCGCCTCTTGTAATTGGGCGAGATCGTGCGTTGTGGCAAGCGCTAGCACTTTGAAGCCCGCCGCCTTGCCTGCCTTGATACCCGACGGGGCATCTTCAATGACAAGCATTGATGCACCTTTGTCAAACCCAAGCTGCGAACGCCCAAGCTGGTAGCACTGAGGGTCTGGCTTGCCAACCTCAACGTCTTCCGCAACCACGATGTGCTTTGGGTTCGCCAGCTTCAGTACATTCAACCAGCCATCTACCAGCGCCCGTGTGCCGGACGTAACCACTGCCCAAGGCGCTCCGGCGCCCTCGAGTTCTTGCAAAATGTTTCTCGCGCCCGGGATTTCAACAGCATCGCTTCCGTATTCTATTGGGATCCGGCCCTCAACAAAACTAACGTCTAAGCAGTGCAAATCAGGCGAATTAGTCGAGACCAGAAGAATAAGGGGTTACTGAAGCATAGAACACACATTCCCAGTTGGCCTTTTCGGGAGCGAGAATTTTGAGGACGTCAATGCTTCTACGTCCGTGCGATGTTGCAAGGATCACTGCTGGATCTATGCCAATTTCAAGGCCTATTCTATTACCAGATTTAGAGAACCATCTTTACATGTTCAAGCGACAAGTTATACTGACTTTTGCCAATGTTTCACAATTGCTATGTGGAAGGGATACCATCAGCGAAAACCCTGAGCCTAGAGAGCTTTTGAAACCAACCTGCTGTGGAGTCTACTATTGTGCCATCAAAGTCAAAGAGCAGGCCGTCAAAGGCATGGACTTGTGAAGGTCCAGAGAATTCTCCTACTGATCCCATCTTGCCCGGAGGTTCAATATAAAATGTGCCTTAGTTATCAGAGATTCAGCTGAGATTGTAAACCTGGAGATTCTCCGGATATGCGTATGTTTAACTTTTAGTTGATACGTCCCATTCAGCCTTATACCCACAAACCTGGGATGAAATTTCTTTTCTTGAGACGTGAACTGAGGAAGACGCCCGCAACGAAGATGCTTATATAAGCTAACTAACCAGCACTTAGTAAACTCAGACCTCGGGCTTCAGGCCAGCCTAGCCATATGTAGCATAGCTTCACTGGAGGCGCGTCTGTTTTTGCATGAGTTGAACTAAAGGCGTCTTGGCGGTGATAAAAAAGTGTGTCGAGACAAACGGCCGAAGTTATGTTGTAACTGGCCGACTCGATATCTTGTAAAAATGGTGAAGCTTGGTAAGTACAATAGCCCAGCCGGCTTATTGTCATCCTTTGTAGAGCTTTTGGCACTAACCGCCTTATCTATCTCCCAGGCAAAACTTCTAAGAGGACTCCAGTCCGCTTGCGTCACAAGATCGAGAAGGCGAGCGCAGCTAAACAGAGAAAGCAACGGAAGCTAGCGAAGAAGGTAGGCATATTCTAACAAATCTTGGGTGGATATTGGTGTTAATCGTTTCCCAGAATCCCGAATGGCGGTCAAAGCTGAAGAAAGATCCTGGCATTCCAAACCTATTTCCTTACAAGGACAGATTCTCCATGAAATCGAAGAATGAAAAGGCTAAAGGAAGAAGAAACCCAGCGATTACGTGAGAGCGCGGCAAAGAAATCGAGCCGCTGGGACTGAGATTCTCCCGGATGCTGAACTAGTTGAGGATGAACAAATAAGTCAAGATGACGATTTATTGGACGAGGATATGGCAGATGACGCCGACGAGTCTAACCCTATGGCTGCTTTGTTAGCATCTGCAAAGGCCAGAGCGGTAGAATACGCCCAGCAAAACGGCAACGAAGGGTTGGACGACGAGGATATGGATGGTATGGATGAAGATGATCAGATTGCCAATGGCGATAACAGCGTCGCGTTAGGACCCTCTTCGGGGCCACGTTCGAAGGAGACCTCGAGGCGAGCGTTTGATAAAATGTTTAAACAGGTTATCGAAGCCGCGGACGTTGTCTTGTACGTTCTAGATGCGCGGGACCCTGAAGGCACCAGATCCAAGGAGGTTGAGCGGGAGATAATGGCAATGGACGGCGGGTCGAAGCGGCTAATTCTGGTTTTGAACAAAATCGACCTAGTTCCTTCGCCCGTTCTAAAGGGCTGGCTATTGCATCTTCGAAGATACTTCCCAACGCTTCCATTGAAGGCGGCAACAAATGCGGCCAATGCTCAGGGCTTTGATCACAAACAGTTGACGGCGAAAGCGACGTCTGAAACTCTTTTTCAAGGCGCTCAAATCTTATGCACACAACAAGCAGTTGAAGCGCTCTATATCAGTTGGAGTCATTGGCTATCCGGACGTCGGAAAATCATCCGTCATCAACGCTTTGACCTCGAGGCTCAACAGGGGCATTTCATCTGCATGTCCCGTTGGAGCTGAAAGCTGGCGTTACCACCAATCTCCGCGAAGTCAAAATTGACAGTAAATTAAAATTAATCGATTCTCCTGGAATTGTATTCCCGAACTCCGATACATCCAAATCTTCCAAAAGAATCAACGAGGAAGCGCGCCTGATCCTTCTCAATGCGATACCCCCCAAACAAATTTCTGACCCCGTTCCTGCCGTTACGCTTCTTCTTAAGCGATTGTCTACATCTGAAGGTCGCCTTTCCAAAATGCTTGAGTTCTACGGCATTCCACCCCTCTTCCCGCTCAATGGCGAGAAGACCAACGATTTCCTGATTCAGGTTGCTAAGAAAAGAGGAAGACTGGGTAAAGGCGGTGTTCCCAATATCGGCAGTGCCGCCATGACTGTCATCTCCGATTGGAGAGATGGCCGCATTCAAGGTTGGGTGGAAGCGCCTATTCTTCAGGTTGGCGGAACGGAGAACGTCCAAGTGGGCTCTACTGGTGTTGGACCGGACACAAAGCAAGTCGTGGCCGAGTGGTCAAAGGAGTTCAAACTGGATGGCCTATGGGGGGACAAGGAAATTCCTCATGATGAGATGGAATGATATGCACGCACAGCTCTTTGACAGTCCGGATTTTTTTTTTTCCCTCCGAGATGGATTAGGTGTCAAAGGCGTAGTTCAAAATGGGGGCTAGGATAATTTATATGGTGCGATGAAATTGATCTCATCGCCCGTTGCGAGAAATATGATCTAAAGGCTATACTCATGTAGAGGGCATTAGCTAGCCAGCCACATTTAGAAACTGATAGTTACCCGGAGCAGTTCCTACTGAAGGTGTTGGATAGCGACCCCAGGGAAACTACAGATACTGCAGTTGCATTCCAGGTACCAGCAGGCCTATCACTAGACAATACTGAATGTTTGAACAACTGGCTGGAAGTCAAAAGGAGCAGGATTGTGTGTACTGCACGATGGAATCCTGTAAAAGATCATGAAACTGTTCCATAATTAACTAACTAGTTAATAAAATCACAAGAAAAGACTCGAGAAGATTAGCCCTGGAAGTTGAGATTTCCTTCACCATTTATTAGTTACAGATAACTACTCCTTGTGAACTAGTTAACCAACCAATCATTCCCTTGAAAGTTCACCTGTTCATGTGAATGCCCTCAACTCAAAAGAGCAACTCTTCAACTTTTGGTGGCTGTTGTGTGTTCACTGACATCAAAAATTCTCAGAGCTTAACCTTGGTCCACATTGGGGACGCGTGCAACATCTGCCTTGGGGCGAAATACACCTCCTGAACAAGATAGCAGGGTCAATTCCCCGTGATATAGAGATCTTTGTGCATTGGCTGAAAACTATTTTGATTTGTCGTTGAAAAAGTATGGCGGCCCGGAAGTCAACTGATAATATAGAGCGCGACACCGCCAGTCCAGAGGTTGATGAGAGTCAATTGAAAAGCGGAAAGGAGCCTGTGGAATCAGGTGTGAATGTCGAAGTATGTCTCTAATCGGTGGTTTTCAATCTGCCTGTCGTCTTAGAGCCTGTGCCATTCAAACCACGCTGTCGGAGACCGAAATTGTTCAAAGTTAGCCTGAGGCACATTTATGTCCATATTGCTAACATCAACCTTTCAAATGGCGCATCTGACAGGATTTTCTCCTCCCACGGACCCTGACACAGAGATTGGCTAAAGGGGTTCTACCTCCCAATACATCTATTCAGAGAGATGCCCTGTTGGCAATTACAAAGGCGGCTACAGTCTTCGTGTCGTACCTCTCATCCCAGTGAGTAGCAGCTATTTTCGAGCCGAGTCTTCTCGCTGATATAACGCCCTTTCAGCGCCAACGAGGAAACGGAGAAGAAAACGATAACGCCACAAGATGTTCTTTCTGCGCTGAAGGAAATTGAGTTTGATTCATTTTGTCCCCGACTGGAGCGAGAATTGGCGGTATATACAGAAGCCGCGATTCGTAAACGACGGAGTCAAACCGAGAAAAAAAGTCGTGGAAAACCGCCAGACCAAGATAAACCCCGTGCAAACGAAGGCGAAGAAGGGCCCATCCCCAAGCGGATCAAGAGGGATGACGAGAAGCACATTCTGGAGAAGGAAATGGGTGAAGTTCCAGCGACTATAGAAGATGACACTGAGGGAAGCCGTGGGAAAGATTCGCATACCGAGGAGGTGGGACAGCGGACGGAGACCGAAGGGCATGAGAGCATGGATGACGAGGATGACGAGGATGCTGAGGATGCTGAAGATGATGAGTATGATGAGGATGATGGGGAGGATGATGATGGTAATGAGAGCACGGATGTTGAAGGGAGTCAGGATGAGGGGACTGGGAACGGCGGATTCGCGACTGGGGCCGAAGAGCTTTCTGAAGAGACCGATTCAACTGGGGCGGCAAAGTATCCAGATCTAGATTCTGATCTGGCCAGTGGGAGTGATTGAGATTGATATCTAGGAACTTTTAGTGGCAACACCAAACGTGTAGTTTGAGTGCCCTGTGCTAGTTATATCCCTACAACCAAAGGCGCCTTGCTCCTATTTTGGTACTATAATAGTGGATTGGAAGTGCTTTTTGCTTCCTAATGCCCGTCATCAAGACTGTATTCATTGCAACTTAATGGGGCAATTCTCTAGGTGGTTACTCCGTATCTTGCAATAATTAAGCATCACAAAGAATATATCCATAAAACAAAGACAAATAATCCCATCCGCAACCATTACAAACACCACTTCGAACCAATAAGCCTGATACAATACAAACAAAAGTTGCCAACACTAGAAGCCGAATAGAAGATAACTTTGAGATCTAAAAGTTAAATAGATCAGTCGGAATTCCCCAAAGACAATCATATCTCGGAATAATAGTAGCTTAAGGATGATCACATCATGGAAGAGTGCTGCGGCCTCGCATTGGCCTGCTTGCTAGGTGCCTTGCATATCCACAGTGGCCTAACTTGGAGTGGCAATGATTTCAGCATCTTTCCACGATGGTGAGCAGGACGTAGATGGCACCACCAAGCCGGGAGACAAAGGGCCGTTATTGCGCACTTCTCCTGGGGATAGCGGACACATGGCCATTGAAATTGATCCATCGCAAGGAAGAGGTTTAACACCTTTTGGGGCTCCTTGCTTGCTAGGTTTGCTCACACGGAAATTTGATCCGATCTGATTCTGTCGCGGCGCTTTCTTATTTTGTGAGGTCCTTCTTGGCTTGGATGGTCCTTTTTTCTTACGATCAGGTATCTCATTGAGCGAAGAGCGTTTGTTTCCAGAATTCGTCAGCTTTGCAATCGGGGCGGAGTGTATCATTTCCCCTTGGTTTGTAGCTGTGGAGGCCGGGACAACCACGGCTATATTGCTTCCATACTTTTTCCTAAGGCTTTCGGTATCGGGCGCTGGGCATTTGATGGGAGCGTCATCACCGCTATCATCCCACTGTTTCAAGCCCACAAGTCCAGCAACTTCGTCACAATCGCCCTTAACCACAAGATCCCAGCATTGCTCAAAGTCCCTGCCAACAGGCGCTGCATCATGATTTATCCATATGACAATGCCGTCCTTCCTACCCTGAACCACACGGCACATCTCTTTAACAATACGACGGACACCAGGTATTTTCAAACTAGTTCCCACCACCACCAAAGCATCGGGTCTAGCTCGTAAGTCTCTCCTGACAACGGAACCAATGGCTTCCTCGTCAGGATTATGTTCATTGTAAAGCACAATCCTAGGTCTTAATTTTCCGATGCCGCGGCTCCGCTGTCCTGCGCTTATGCGGTGAGAATCTTCTTGACAGCACTTTGGGCAAAGAGGCGGATCTGGTCCCTGGAATAGCTCTGCTTCGAAGTCTGATGTATGTCTACATTTCTGGCAAATCATTTTTTTCAGGCCCCCATGAAGCTGGATGGTCAGTGGCCACGGACCCTTCGTACCCAAAGGCACTTCAGTAGTCAATGGTGGTAAAGACGCGTCGATGCCGTCAATATTTTGTGTATATAGCCGCATCAAGCGGCGTTCTTTTGCAAGTCGAGCAAGCAAGTGGTGAAAAGCCGAGGGCTGCGCGGCCGCCGCCATACCGGACAATGAGCGAACCATTTCGTGAAATGAAGAAGTCATTGTGCTATCTAAATAGACAGATGCGTCGAAGAGTTCTTTTCCGGATGCCTTTAACTTATGGCCTTTTCGTAACGTTTTGAATAATCCGTGTGAAGACCTAAAGTCAGGAACTGGAAACACCGTGTCAGTGTCTTCGACGCGTTTTAGAACTAAATCACGACATAGAGGCGAGAGACATACTACCGGCAGAAACCGAAATGCCAGCTCCAGCCACTACTACGATCTTGCGTTTGTTCTGGATGGCTGAAATAAGCATATTTAGATCATTTGATTGATCTCGACCGGGTGACATGCCCAAGTTGACATGTCTGGAGATTCGAGGCTTCGGTTGCGGCGCTCGCTTTTCCGTTTCATTCCTTTCTGCTGAGTATGTTTCGGATATTGCGGGAGAGGTGCCCTGGAGAGTTTGAGACGAGGGAGGAGATGGGTAAAAGTCCGGCGGGGGACTTGGAGATGCGGGCGGAGAGCTGAGGTCGGATGAGGAATCAGAGAGGTAAGACATTTTCGTACCGACACTTCGCTCGAGTCAATTGCACTCCACGCACAACTCCAGTTTAATAATCATCAGGCAAAGGGAGTTCTTTGAGATTGGCGGCATCAACAAATAGAAATATAAGAGGTGAGATCATCAAGAGCGAGAGCTGTAATGGGGGCTTATTGGCTAGCAGAGATGTTGATTTTTTCCAAAGAGGAAAACCCAAAATTAATGGTTTTGACTCTGGCTTGTTATCAGTTGTGTTGCACTTGTCACTACTCCGTACAGAGGAGGTCGTTGTTGTTAGCTAGTGAGATATGAGGTTCGGACTACCAAAACTCTTATTAACAACAGCCCTGTTGTAACTATGGAGTAACTCCAGTGTGCTCCGTACCTGTCGTTTACTTTGGACTAATAACTAGCTAGTGAACTCACCAATAATTGGTTAGGTAACTTACTAGTCAGCTAGCTAACTACTCCGTGCAGACTACAGGTGGGCGGATTTCAATCTTTCTGGCTTGGTTCTTGTGTGATGAACATGCCATATTCATGTTGTATTATTATCTTTTAATATCATATACAAACTCGAAACTCTTAACAAAAATTTGATTCTATAGCTACTCGACTCTTGCATCTCTTTCAGTTTGTTCTTTGCGATCAGAGTAGCTGCTATGGCTGCACTCTTGGTTCTTGCATAGGCTGAAACACTCATACTCCAAGCTATGGATGGCAGCATCGATGTTGATGATCTTTTCAATGACCCAGCTTCATTAGAACTGGGCCTTGGTGATACTGTGCCAGCCTTGAAAGGATCGCCCCAAATATTTGATGAATTGCGGCTTTCCGGATGTTGCCAGTATGTTTTTTTGCACAACCATTCCGCCAAGATGTCTGAATGCTGGATTTTGACTTGCTAATAGGAGAGTCGCATGGTCTAAAATTGGAGCCATTGCATACATATCCCATGATGGGCTCAAAGTGTTTTTACGAAATATTATTTGCAAGGCAGATGATGGACTATGGTCATTGAACAAGGAGAAGCCATATAATCAGATCCTTGAAGCCCAGGGCGGTCATGTTTTTGTCCACCTTTGCTGGCATGAAACAGGGTCAGAACTTGCTGTTGTGGATTCCTATGGTCGCATATTGACGTTATCAATGTCCTTTGCGCTGAATGCCTACACTATATCACGACCAGCGATCATCGACAATGACGATGATGGGAATCAACCGGTCGGTTTAATGTGGCTCAGTTTGAACCGCGCAGTGAGTGATTCATATGCTCCATGATATATACATATAGGATACCAGAAGTAGGCACTCATATATAGCATTAGGTGCACGCATTTCAAAAAGCGACCAAGACAAATGGCATTTGGGCATATTCACGCTATGCTCGTCGACCTCTAGGTCCTTTCCATCCTTTAAACAAATCCGGCCTAGTTTGTGTGACTCGATGCGGTTTTATGAGGTTTTTATACCAAAATCAGGACCCCAAATGGTCCGAAGCACATGTGGAGCTGCAGAATGTTACATGCTCTGATGATGTCCTAACGCATGCTGCGCTGGCTCCGACTCAAGGTTTGGCTGCCGCCTCATCTATGTACTGAATTATGCTTATCGACTTACCTTACGAAACAGGTGGAGCCATTTTAATAGTGACGTACTCTATGCAAGGCAAACTTTGCGTATATCGCGTTCAAGTCAAATGGGAAACCGCACCTGTTGACCCGGGACAGCAAAAGCAGCCCGGGTTCAGTCCACCACATGCACCTGTTATCCAGATAATACATGTGAAGACCGAGACCCCCAAAACCGTTTTCACAAAACCCATCGACCATAATGTCAACTTTACCTCTATGATCAAACCTATATCTAATCTCACCCATCTTGAGATAATCAATGTATCATCGGATAGCTCAAGTGGAGGCTCTAATGAACCATATATATTAGCAGTGTTTTCTGCTCCTATTCCTACTTTGGAAACGCAGCAGCAACCCAATAGTGCTTCAAGTATCCTCGTTCGCTGGGACCTACGTTCTGCCAGTCAGAGTTTACACGACTCCTTCGACGAAGTACCACCAAGACGACCCACACATCATTTGAAGGTGAGTTCATAATTGCTGAATGGAAGCACAATTTCTTTACTGATGTACTTTCTAGCATAGAACAGAACTTGTTAGGCAAAATGACATGTATTTGGATCAACGCGTACTTTCAATTGATCATTTTGAGGCAGGAAATGTTATAGCTCTGACCTTCGACAACGGAAACATCAAATTTTTTGATGCAAAAACGGTGCTTCCATCCGAGTCGACGGATAATCTTACAGTCATTTCGAATCTGCCTCAAGCAGGGTTCAGCTTCCCTACTATTGGATCAGGTACAAGGATCTATACTGATTTTCATTCCTATTCTTCTGCTAACTCTTATTAGCAACTTGTATTTCTTTTTCGCCCTGTGGATGCCTGGCTGTGACATTGGATGAGAATAGCGCCTTACAGCTTCACGCAATGGAACTTTCACTTGCAACTGAAGACGGATTGTACAGGGATGGTATGAGCATTTCTTATATGCTAAAAAAGAAAAACACATCTAACATTTGTGTTACAGAACAACTCAGTGCTCCAGTGGCCGCTCTTACTTTGGCGTTTGCGAGGGCCTGTAGCAATGACACCAGTAGTGATGACATACTGATGGTTGCGACAAGACAACTCACCACTGGTAATGCATATATCTGGCCTATTTCGTGGGATCCATTATTAATAATCCCTAGGTGCCCGGAACGGGTTTGTCACCGAGATATACCAGGCTCTGTCCATGAATACAGATTTTACCATCGAACAGGATAAACTCATGAATAATCCATATATCCAAAAATGTCTTAGCATGCAAGCTGCCCTTGGGTTCAACGGACAGTTCCAGCCACGGAGCCTTACTGCAGCTCTATCATGGTTTATATTGCAACTGAGGCAAATCTCTATCCTCTTCGCATATTTCCTTCATTTTAACAAGAGTGGCAGTGATTCAGAATGTCACGAACCTGGTATGGTCCCTGAGCATCATGAATTATTTGAGAAATAAAACTGATCTGTTGGGAGACATATTGCGAATGATCTATGGCAACGTGAAATGGGCACTTGATTTGGCAAAATATCTTATTGATGATTTGTTTGAAATAGCTTCAAACGTAGCCAGGGATCCGAGTAATCAGACCAGTAAGTTACAACTTATGACTGTTTCAAGCCATCCCGCTGATATTCTCCGCAAGGCAAAAATTTCGAATCCTTTTCGGTTCTTCTCATCCTCTCCAGCATTCCCCGTTCGTTCCTGAAGTATATTTGCCGTGGACTTCGCGGGATACCGAGTAGTTTTCGTAATGCTCAAAATCTTAGCAGCGAATCGTTTACGATATATTCCAAGACTGTATGTCTCATCGAGGAGTCGCCATTAAAGGTAGACGTGTACGAGAAATTCCTCTTGAGCGTCGATAGCGTTATCAAATATACCTACCAAAACGCGGGGCTTGCGAACACTGATCGAGCAGTTCTAGAACGGGATTTACTCATCAATGCCAGCGTTCCACCCGCATTACATACTGCTGTGTAGACTATCTTGACCAGCACCATGACTCTGATTCGACCGGACGTTGACCTCTTACGCTTGTGTACATGGGGATTATAGCTGGTTAGGGATCGACGATGACAAGCTGACAAGATCGTTTCGACGACGTAATGAAGTCGACATTCTTAAACGGAGCATAATCACCATACCAGAATCAGAGGAAAGGTTGACCCAGCCAAAAAGACGGTGTGTTAGGTGTTGCGCTACTTCAGGAGATGCTGCGTCCCCGAAAACTTTGGCTTCCTTTCGCCTGCTTGTGAAGACCGTTGTATTACGGACGTGTATTTGCGGAGGAATGTGGATGGTGGAAAATCCGGATAGCCTACATGGCGGACTGGTATCCGGGTGGAAACACCCTGGTTGAATTTTTTGAATTTCGGTTGTAGGCATACTACAAAAGCACTACATTCTCTAACCCATGGTTGGTCTATCATTGCATTAGCAAAAAGGGTTGGCAATTGGATTAGATATAGTATGCTTATCGCTATACGTCGAAGTTTTAAAATTTAATACTCAGGACATCCGGAAGGTAAAATACAAAGCTGAGAAGTGGTTGTGGTTTGTCAACTGCTTCGTAGGAACTCCCCAATAGGCTCTAACTAAACGGACGACTGAGCCATCCCAATTGCATCCCTATGCTTGCCATACTATTGGCAAAATGTTGATGGCGAGGCCAGGAATGAAAGGGTGGAAAAGGCAGCCTTTGATCAGTGAGAGATGGTGCTCCAGAGCGGCAAACAACCCATGTCAACTAGTGTTTTCCCATTGAATCGGATGGCTCAAGGAACAGCGAGTGTATAATGGCAGATAATAGTCATTCGGAAGGGTTTTCATTGCTGTTGCCAAGTGCATTGCCCTAAATACATGCCGCAACAGAGATCATGATAATAAAGAAGCCGTGAAACAAATGCTGCTTAACTGTCTCGAATTTAAGCCTGAATATCGATCTAATCAGTTATCATTCTAGAAGATTGAGCCGCATAGCTTTACCTTGACAGCATATTTGCGCTGAGGGAAATGCATTTGTTTCTTCCGTTGCCTCTCTGTGATAAGCGAAGCTTCATGCTTCGTGAGACGTCTGCGAATAGCGCGGGTTTGCTTTGGTCGGAGGTCAAGAGGGAGATAATTCTTCTTCTTATAAAAGAGGCGGAGTTGGGCGCGTTGGTTGGCATTAATGACAGTGAGGACTCGCGCGATCGCCTTGCGAAGATCGTGACTATAATTCCCAAGGATTTGGTTCCATCAGCTCACTAATCTTTTAAGAGCACAATTCAAAATCTGCTCGGTATAGGCCCTTTTGACGCACATTCTGGTAAGTTTTGAGGCAGCACCGCCAGCAATCTTTTGAACTCGGAGCTGACCTAATTCGGTCTTTAATTCATCAAGCTGCTTCACGAGTTCATCTTTGCTCTTGCCCCAGAGCTGGCCGGTCTTCACTTTCGCGGTCGACTGTAGAATAGATCAGCAATACGTAGCAATCAGAGCGATTCCTCACGTACCATAGCGGACAGAGATTGTTGATTGTCGTGTGGTTGTCGACGTGAAGTGATCTGGCGTTGCAATCTCTTGTGTGGGACTAGGGTTTTCGGCCTTTGGTGGATAGGTAACTAGGCGAGAGGTTTCACGTGACTAGCCTAGGTCCCCTTCTCGGAGCCGGACCCGCTTGATCCTCCTGCATCATGCATGACGACCCATGAATTCTCACGAACCGAAAAGCCATACACGCCTTGACGTCGTAAAATGTGTGGGTTGAACCCACGTACGATGCTGCTACAATCGTCCACGCTCAACGCACGCTCCTGTTTCGCTACAGGGTAACATCGGCAACAATGGCTGCAATGGGCAGCGGATGGGCGCAGCTCCGCCAGCAAACTCGATCTCTTGAAACCCAGGTACATTCTCTTTAAAGCAACTGCTTTTCCGTGGTTACTGACAGCCTAGACTGAGTCTTTATTCCATGTCTATGCCCAATATACCTCCGTGCCTCAACTTCCTGCTCAGAGCTCAGAAGAGGAACAACGTATCGAAAGGCAGCTCAGAGATCTACTTGAACGTGTGCGGCTGATCCTTGAGTGAAGCATCAAACACATGTCGCTAATTAGCATTCATAGCGAGACGCCCTAATTTCTCAACTTGCACGACTTTTAGATTCGGAAACTGGTTTGACCGCTTCCGCGTTGAAACAAAACAATCTTTCCCGACATCGAGCGATCCTTCGCGATCATCAACAAGAACTTAGACGTCTCACGCTATCCATATCTGAGACTCGCGCCCGGGTAAACTTACTTTCCAATATCCGCTCAGATATTGACGCTTATCGATCGTCTGATCCGGCCGAGGTAGAAGCTGATTACATGTTGGAAGAAAGATCTAGGCTTGACAACAGCCACAATATGATGGATAGTGTCCTCAGTCAGGCGTATGCCGTCAACAATGACTTTATCTTGCAGAGAGAAACATTGGCCAATATAAACCGCAGAATTATGAGTGCAGCTAGCCAGATACCAGGTGTGAGTTCGCTCTTGAATAAAATTGGAGCCAAAAGAAGAAGAGATGGGCTTATTCTTGGCATTTTTATCGGAGTATGTTTCCTACTTTTGTTATATTTTCGTTGAAATAAATTGATATCCGTTCCGGCAAGTAGTTTTGATAGTGATGGTAGAACTAGCGGAATTGCATTTTAAGCATGAAGTAGTTGCCTCAGAACGCCCAGACAGCAGGATATGTTTTGATATTACTGTCGGAGGTGCTAAAGAGGTGGCCTAAGCATGGGAATTTGGGTTTGAAAGTCACTTAAGAAATAGAATATTAGACTCTGGCAGTCGACTGTATCAATGCAACTTCAAGTTGTAATGCTGTTTTGTTGGTGTTCCTCAACCAACCTTTTCAGCCCAGCATTCAGAGACTCAATCTCAGTCGGGGCGGCAATACTACTTCCAGCCCATCTAATCCGGCATGCTTGGTCCAAGAGATACACATATCCCACCTTGCTATTCATAACACCAATCTGCTCCCTTAAATGGTCCGTGAACCCTTTTGTTACAAGGAAATATCTCCTATGTTTTGCTTCTGGAAGTTTCCGCCGTAAATTTGCCATGAAGCTTTGCACAAGAAGCGCTTTAAGCCAATTATCCTCAACGTTCACCGCTACTTCTTGTGCGACACCATTTGACTCCTGCAGTATGTGATGTAGCCTTGGGTTTTGCTTCTCGCCAATGAATGAAGCGGTCTGACGTTCCGCCCAGAGACTTGAAAATATACTGACCACGGAAATCTTCCCTTGAAGCACCGGGGTTGTATTTTGCATTGGACTTAATCGATCCAGGGTTCGCCCGAAAAGATTTGGAAAGTAAAGGGCTTTATCGCGTCTGAAATTCCGGGAATTCGATAGGAAGGTTTTCCCTTTGTGGTGTCGCATTCTAACCCAATCGCGGAAATATGGCTTCGAAAATTCTTTGGAGCTATACGAATTAAAAATAACAAGTCAGGCCACCCATAGTTCAAATTGGATAATTGAAGCGCAGGGAGTTAACGCACAGTTGGACACGGCGCTCCATGTGCTTTTCGCGGTTGATAAAGTCATTTGTTCGCTGGCCAAGTGTTCGAGTATCATTTCCCGTGTTTTGGCCAATCTCGGGGGGGTAGGGTAGCCCAAGCGGCCGGCTAAGTGGTTGAGGAGTGAACTCATCTAATTGTGACGTTGATGCGCTTCCGCTCGTCTTTTGCCTTTGAAAAGTGGAAGAGATATAACGAGCGGTCTGGCGCTGGTTGAGGCTTTGGCAAGATAAGCAAAGGCTGTGTGAAATCGGCCGGTCGAAAAATTGGAGAATATTGAAATATTTCCTCATGACTGCTGCGAAAAAGTATTTGGGCTGAGGCTCCAAGATTGCTTTCTCCAAAGAAAGCTCAAATCTTTTTCCTCATGCTCCGTGAGTCCGTACGGAGTACTTTCAGAATGCTTCACAGTTCAAGTCAGTTAACTAGTTAACTTAACTAACAAACTAACTAGTTAATAGCTTGGCGCCTGAAGTCTGGGCAAATGAGATGTGATTTACAGAAACAAACTAAGAATTCCTTCTCTGTCCAGACTCAGAGTAACATTAATAAGGACGGGGTCCAGAATTGTCATGTGATGCGTTATGGAGTGCTTGTACAGACAGGCCAAAATGATATCAACTCAGAAACAGTTAATTTCCAACCCAATGCCCTGGCCTTTTTGTGACCTACAAAAATGATGGAAGCAATGATTGTGATGCAGTGAATCCAACTCCTCAAGACCAACAGTCGACAGCTTCATTAACTAGTTACCAGATCTCTGTCACACCTATGAACAAACCCTTTTTTGTTTTGCAAAATTCCCCATTCTACCCTTCGCAACTGTTGCGACACCCAGCTGATGTGTACAAATGCTGACATCAAAACACCACATGAATTGGAGTTTAGTGTGGTACCTATAGACCCAATAGTTGAAGAAGATGGTGATGGCATGGCCTTTTCTTCTGCCATGTTCAGTGCAGAAGCAGAGAGGATTCTTGAAAATGCCAAAGAAAGACTAACTGTTTGTCAACCATTTGTTAACATCTTAGTCAATTGGGGGCTGGTACTAATAAATTCCTATCACTTGTAGCACATGGAAGGAAATCTCTCCAAAGCCCGAAAGTCTATTGGCCTCTGCCTGTCTGCAACATCAACAACTGCCAATGCGACAAAAGCAAACTGTTATCCCAAGGCAACATTAGAAGTTGGGCGCCGCGCGCATTCAAGTCTCGCCGGCACTCTGCTGCACCGACAATTCTCTGATGATTTTAACAACAGCAATTTGCGGGACGTGCAGGAATCAAACAACTCGTCCAACTACTCTGGATCTCCAGGGCGACCCCCGGAAACGGAGGTCAAGCACTACAGACCTTTCAGTGCCCTCGCCTCCGCCAGCGGTTGTACCACGGAGACGGTCAGGACAGGCCCATCGGATTGGGGTGATCTAAATCGTGACCATGAACGTTCCCACCGCTTCTCAACATCCCTACATCACCCTCATTTGTCAGCTCTTACGACGAAGGACTGTCGCGAGCCATTTTCTGCTCGTTCGCAACCAATAACGCTTACGAGCAAGGCTCGATTGGCGGACCGAGGCGAGAGGTTGGCTTTTCTAGAAGACTTCAATAATCCTTATGCCTCGAATCCGCCTTCTCGCAGCCAATCTCAATTCGAAATACGCGGCCTGCAGGATCAGATGCACGGTCTGAGAACAAAATTATCCACCTTGAAAGATAAAACTCTTGAAGACCAGACAAGGAGGCATAGTCTGCAGAACTTCGCGGAATCTGGATGCTATTTCGCCACTCCCGGATCACCCCAAGAATTTTCAGAACAGCCAACCGGCGGTGAGGTTGCCAGGTGCAATGCAGGAACAGATCATGAGCAAGAAGATCCAGCGCTTCTGCATGTATCGGAAAAAAACAAAAATTGCCAGCCAGAAAGCGCCTATGATGACGCTCTATCACCGGACGAATTCCAGCAAGTTGATCCAGACGATTTCGCCGGAACAATCTCACCTAGAAGTTGGGTTTATACAAAGAAAACAGAGAAAGTCAGAGAACTTGTACCTATTCTGCCGGTAGTTGAAACGCTTCCCCATGAAGATCGTGTGGATGCCTTTGATTATGAGCGATTTATCCTTCACAGTGCCCTTGGCAACTATGACGGGTCTAAATCCTGCCGCCAAAGCTATAGCTCAACTGAATCTAGGGAAACCACAAAACCTCATCCTCATGACAGTGACTACCCAGACTATGAAACGGCAAAATACTATTCCAGCAGTAACAGTTCTAGCCCCGTATCAACAATGGTTACTACACTTGGAACATCAACTGAAGGGAGTGATCCCGATGACTCTGAACAACACAGGAGTGATGACATCAGCCCTCCACCGTATTGGAAGTGGGAAAACACTGACTTTAAAATGATAGAAGAAGGTAAGATTGTCGCATCGCAATTGATAATTTGGTGATTTCTAAACAGCCGTTTAGACATGCCTCCTCGCACACGACTTTCATCTATCACATGCAACCGTTCTCCATTCCCGGATCTTGAGAAACACTCTGAAACCGACACCCGTACTGAAATTAATTCAGCCTCTGCCGATATTTCCAAAACCAACAACCCTCGTTCAACGGCACCTGCCGCTGATGGCACCTTTTTTCTACTTAAATCTCTTTTGGAACATACTGCCGATAGACCCAATTGCGAAATCCAGAACATGCTTTTCCACGAAGATGCCAAACTAATGCGGCTCGTTTTTCATTCTCTTGGTCGTGTTGGCCTTCAATTAGGTAGTGCTTCGGCTGCTAGTAAAGCACATTGTGATGAGGCAACCGCTAGTCTACTAAGGAATCGACTAGATACTGCACTCCGTGTTTTGGAGGGCGAACTTGATATTTAATTCGTTAATCTCGAATCTCAGCGCTTTCCTTTTTCTTTTATTCATTCTGGCCGCCCTAGCAATTCAACTCTCTATGTCAAATTCTGGATCGAGTGGAATCGTCGTGTAATGGAGCCTGTTGGTATCCTCCGCGAAACGACGTTGGGCAATACTCGACGAACCTCAAAATCTCCATGTTAATTATAAGTTATGAACCTTGGCCATAAGTAATAAGGTTCTCTATCAACGTGAACACAAGTGAAGAGGTATTCCCCATGAGCGAAAATAATTCGATATTACCATCAGTTACAGTATGGCAATTGCGACACCATTTACCTTGAAACGCTTAAATGTATGATAAGTACGGCATCTTTGTCTGAAACAACTGGAAAGGTGGTGATTTGATCTTGGCTTAAACAGTGTTGTTGGCACTTAAAACCAACGTTGAACAGTACTTTAGATCGAGAGACCGCCAATCACTCAAATCTAATCCGGCCGTTTGGCGTGACAGTAAAAGTGAGTCTAGTGAAGGTGTTAGACTTGACAGAAGTCGCACACAAAATTAGAACTTACGGGTTATCCCAATAGCCTCAAACCATCGACTTACACAAGTTTCGTTATCATCACTCGCTTTCAATAGCCCGGTGTCAGGTTGGATGCGAAAAGCCGGCGCTAAGGACCTCATTTTCAAATGTGTTGCCACAATGCCTGAAAATCTATCTCCCTGGGCTGCAAGCTCGGATGGGGAACGTTCGAGAGGCCACTATAGCAAACATAACACCACACTGTTAATCAAAAAGTAGAGGGACTTCATATGAAATAAATTTGCAATGGACAACAAACCTTATTAGAATATTCCCCATGCTCCCAGCTATAGAATAGCCAAGACATTCGTTCAACACAGTTCAGAAGAATAACAGAGGCTAAAAAGGTCTGAAAATTACCATCTCTTTGCTTCTGAAGCAAGCGTTGCTCAATTCGATTTAGGACAGCTTTACTAGTTTTCGCAGCACGTTTCTCAACTGCTGCTTTCAGTTGACCGCAGATGAGTGCATATGATTCAAATTCGCCGCCTTCACCGATTGAAATGCGCCATCCATTTGAACTTGAAGTTAGAGAATGTAGGCTTGCAGGTGGTAAGGTTGGATTGAGAAACAATTTCCAGGGCAATAAAGGTCCAACAAGGATGGATGTAGCAACCCATAGATCAAGAACCCCTGTTAGCAATTCATCCTAAGCTCAAGTCAGTATTTGTCAGGTGTAATATGGTGCGAATTTACTTATTTTGATCCAAATCGGTGAAGAAAAGAAACGGTTTGAGCTTACCTGGTTAGTTTTGGCAAGATCAGCTGCCAGTAACAATGTCTCTTTAACAAACACACACTTTTCATTTTCATAGAACCGGTTGGACATCCTTTTCATATAATCATCCAGTTTTTCACTCAACTCTTCCGTCTCTCCATCCAGGATATGGATATCTTGATGATGTAACCCTAGTTCTGCATCATGCACAGTGATGGGCAGCTGTGAATCCAGGTTAGGCAGAGTTTGCTTTTGTGTAGATAATGTTCCGAAAGTCACAAAGTATGATGGATTGGCCTCAAAATGGGATGCTTCAATGCGGCCAGTGGAGAGCTCAAACTGTGCCTGGCTCTTGATATCGTTGATAGCATGGTATACAAGAATTGAATGGAGAGCTATACTTGATTAGCATTCATCCATGAGTATTATGTTAAGTTGTGAGGAACCTACAGACGGAATAAGCCTCTAGGCGTGTCATAAGCCGGGTTCTGACACAACATTCCATCCAGACTCGCGGATTTTGAAGGCTTGTACACTGGGAACATGGTGTACCGGGAGAGCACTGTACAAACATCTAAGCTATGATGGACAGAACCCAAATATCGAATCCTTACCGTTTTCTTCAGCATTCGGCACCGAAGGCAAGCGCCCATTTTCCGAACCAACTGAACTTCTTTACGACGTTCTTCGGAAAACGCAGACCTCGATTTGAATTTGGCGACTCGACGGAGCTCCGCAGGAACAGGTTCCCCCCCATGATCTTGCGCAGTTCCATTAATAGCAATAGGTCGGGGGTAAACCATGGTGTCTGGGTTAAGTAATTCGGGGTTGAATTCAGTTATATTTGGCTTGAGTAATAAAAAAGAAAAAGTTAGCAACAAACCATTAGCAACTGGTATAGAACTGATATCCTGCAAAATCATGACACCATGGGAGGGATTTACATCAGAGCCTAGATGCCCAATCGCATCCTCCGAAACAATTTCATTTGCCGACGCGGCGATGAGTGAAAGTTGTGAAGAGTTGCGGAGATCCGGAAGGGAGTCTGTGGCAAGTTGCAAGGATGAGGATGCCCGAATTGATAGCGAAGGTTCCGGCTGGCTCGATAAAACTTGGGATGCTCGATCTGGAGACGGTGCCGTAAACTGTTCGTTGAGGTCTAGCACGAAAGTCGTTCAGAGTTAACCAACAAAAACTGCGAAGGGATTGCCAGGGATATATTCTTACCAATAGCCGTAGAGCTTGAGGCTTCCAGCGTGGGATCCACAACTATTTGCTTCTGGTTTTGGGGGATTGTCTGTATGTGCTCGGTTCCATTAGTCGCACCAACTCTCCTAGAAGCTTCCGCTAAGACGTTCAGGCCATTAAGTCCGCGAACACTACCAAAATTCGCAGCTCGGGCATTGTAAGGAGAGTTCTCGACTCGAAGCGCATCACTCCGGTTATGCCCATGGTATTTTTTTAGATCAGTTCCACTGGCAGATAATCCGCGTAGGAGATGAAGCACTCGCTGCTTATCGGGCACGGAAATGGCTTGACAGGTTTTGGTCAAGTGACCTAACAAGCTATCCGGCCTTCCCTTCGGAAAATTCTCTCCGCACAGCTTGCATGTATGCTCATAACGATTGCTGGAGTCTGGTAGCTTATTTCCTCGATGGAAGAATTCGGAAACTATGGCGTTGGGCCTTCTACCCATTCCAAGTTAAAGATAGATCTTTGTCTGGGAATCCGAGGAGGAAGAGTATGAATGTTCAGGGCCCGAAAATACTCTTGAGCTTCGCTCCGAGTGTGTACTGTTGCTTGTTGCGTTCACGGAACACCGATATTTGCAAGAAATACCATGCGCTAAACGTGGTATGATGTCCCGCGAGGCAAGACAACGTCCTGCGATTAGATATAGGAACGGGGAAGCTAGAAAATAACTCTTCAATTTGAAAGCATCAAGAGGTTTGGCTCCTTCCTGGCAAAAAGCTGATGAAGTTGCTCCTAAAAGAGCGGTGTCCTCAACGGAAAGCCTGATTGGCTGCCGAGCCACTGTGGCGGAACGTGTCACGCTCACAGGTAACTTCCCCATATGAGACCCAAAACTTGCATACTATGGGATCCATATATATGTTAGAGTACGCGATATCAGAATGCTAGCTCGTGGTATTCGAGCTTGACTGTGCATTTATTACTAATAACCATGGGAGATGATGGAATTGCAACCGTGAATCAGTTTACTCATGAATTATCGTCATTCTATCCTGGCTAAAAATCCACCCCCGACCCAATTCCCCCATTTATGGAGGTCAAGTGTATGAACAAGCGTGGTTATGTATTCGGTTACAAGGACATCAGGCGTTTTCACCTTGCCCAAGACTAGGTGGTCGGGTTTCTTGGGGGGTGCCTGCTTGCAGGGGGCTCCGGCGGGGGGAATTGTGACTTGAGATCCAAATTCCTTCTACCTCGATCCCACTCTCGATCGCTCGCGACCCAAACGGTATATCATCATTTTTAAGGTCGTCGAGTACAAACGTTGCGCCCTGCTGTGACTTCACTTCCCTTTCGGTTGCGGCCATTCTTTTAATCCTCCGAGAATTATAGATTTGGACTCCAAGCCCATAGGCGACAACTATGACCTATCCAGCATTCAGAATTCAAATCACTCATTTGATAGAACAGCATGGCGCTTACAATAAGGCAACCAAGAACCTATTTTAGCGTCAGGATCCACTGATTCATAAACAGTTACTCTACTTACAAAGCACATTTTCTCCCAAAGTTCCCAGTCAACCCAGAATCCCATCCTTGCTATTCTTCCGGAACGGGGTTGTAAAACCAAATGACCTGCTCGTATTCTTTGGTGTTAAATGTGTTTTCGGATGGAGGGGGCTTAGATGCTGCCTCTCAAGGGCCGTTATGCGAGATTCTGGGAAGCAGTGGTGAATCATGACCTCAAAAGTACGGAGTAGGTAGAGAAACAGAATTCATAGGCTGCTTGGCCCCTTCCAATAATAAAGAAATATGTAGCTTTTTGTCCCTCCCACTCTTTAATTGGCTAACTCGCCAGTTGAAGGCAAGGAAGGTGTGTTGTTCGGCACCAGCTTCAAGGATAGAGCTATGCTGTAGTTACATAGGTGATTAACTGAAGTGCAGCCCATGTCAACCAGCTGCCACCTCATCAGCAGGTTGTTCGGGAGTTATAGAGCGCCTACAGAGTACTCCATATATGTTTACTTCACTCATTGACTAGCTACAGTTCACTAGAGTGAAGTAACTGGCTACATAGTTAACTAACTTAACTAACTAACTAGTTAACTAAGTTAACTTCAGGGATTGAAAAAAAACCTTGTTAACTAGTTAATGGGGCCAAGCCGGGCAGCAGCCAAATCAATTTGCTCCTGCAGCAGAATTTTAAAGCACGATTCCATGTTATTTTTTTTCTGAAAATCAGTTGCCTATCTTTACAGGTACATACTACTCAGTCTAAAATGTCTGGGACGAAACGCGCCCGCGATAGCAATAAAAGTGGTACCCAGAAGAAACTGAAATTGAATAGCAGTCTGCCACCCAGTCAATATCAAACCGACATAGAGCAAGAGGAAGATCAGACTGAGGATCATGGTTTTCAAGATTCATATGCAGACAATAGCAAAGACTTGATCTCCAAATGGCAACATGGATCAAACGGACTGGCAGCCAAAACCAGAATCGATGATCATCCATCAAAAGGTCTGTGTGCTTGTTCCCCTCTGAAGATTGTCCACAATTAACTTATGCAACAGTGGTTTCAAAGCATGCCCATGTCAAGCAAAAGTCGCTTACTCGAGAACGAAAGTCAGCAAAACCAAACTCACAACTGATCAGTAGGACAAAGAAGCTATGGGAACGATTGCGCCTTAAATCACATGTTCCCCGTGAAGAACGGGAGAAACTGGTGACAGAGCTTTATGCCATTATCACTGGCCGAGTGAGAGATTTTGTTTTCAAGCATGATGCAGTGAGAGTTATCCAAACTGCGTTGAAGTACGGTACTGCCGAGCAACGCAAAAAAATTGCCCTGGAATTAAAGGGGTGTTATCGAGACTTAGCAGAAAGCAAATACGGCAAATTCCTACTGGCGAAGCTTGTCGTCCATGGAAACTCGGAAATTCGGGATATGATTATACCCGAGTTTTATGGCCACGTCAGAATGTTGATAAGGCACCCGGAGGCATCTTGGATCTTGGACGATATATACCGCATAGCAGTGACATCCAGCCAAAAAAGTATGCTACTGCGCGAGTGGTATAGCCCGGAATTCGCCATATTCGACTCCTCTCATCCTACCCCTACAACTTCTCAACTATCAGAAATATTGGTCGAAATGCCTGAAAAACGAGGACCGATTATGAATCATCTACTAGAGCTCATCAACCTACTCGTTCAGAAAAAAACAATTGGTTTTACGATGCTCCATGATGCTATGCTCCAATACTTTCTAAATACGAAACCTGGGAGCACAGACGCCGCTGATTTTATGGAACTACTGAAAGGAGATGAAGATGGAGATCTGGTGAAAAATCTAGCGTTTACGAAATCAGGTTCGAGGCTGATGTGCCTCGCCTTCGCCCACTCGAATGCGAAAGAGAGAAAATCATTGCTAAGAGTATACCGCGACATGATTCCGATGATGGCGGAAGATATACACGCGAGAACCATTCTGCTCGCTGCTTACGAGGTAATCGACGATACGAAACTCACAGCTAAATTGATTTTTCCCCGATTGCTTTGTGAACATCTCCCCGAAACTCAACGTCATAACAATTTAGTTGAGCGAGTGAATCATATTTCGAGCAGAGTTCCATTACTTTATCTTTTTGGGGGCGAAACTCTATCATGGCTGCTCAATAGCGTCGACCGCGAAATTCTGTCGGAAGTCCGTCAGGCTAGATCAGAGACATCTAAGAAAGATCCAGTGGTCCGTCGGAATGAATTGATCAAGGCTGCATCGCCCATCATGCTCCAATTTATTAGTTCGGCTGCAGAGGCTCTCATGGAAACTGATTTCGGCTGTCGCTGTATTACAGAAGTCCTCTTCAATGCTACTGGCGAAAAAGGGCCCGCACTAGCTGCTGTTGCTGCCACAGTAACGGCCAAGCCAGAAAGGATGGAGGCACCATTTGTTGGGAGGATGCTAAAGCACCTAGTTCAAGGTGGTCGATATAATCCCAATCGGCGGACTGTGGAAAAGCTACAGACTCCCCTGGGTTTTGATGTTTTGTTATATGAGTGCATCAAGCATGATATACTGTCATGGTTGGTGGGTCCAAATCCGTTTGTTTTAGTTGCGATGGCAGAAAACTGTGCTTTCGGTAAGAGGGATGAGTTGTTGAAAACATTGAAAGAGCACAAGCAGACTTTGCATGACCTAGAGTCCAAAACAGATGGTTTGTCAGAAAAGGCGAAAGTCGAGGTTCAAGGTGCAAATGGTGCAGCAGCTAAGCTTTTATTGCATGTGATTGATCAAAAGAGTTAGGAGAATTAGAAATTGTGAGGGTTTCATCTAAAACTACTATTCTAGTATAGTTATGACTATTCTGAAGATTACATTCAGAGACAGGTCTCATGAACCCAGAAGCTTATGAATGCTCTATTGCTAATATTATATTCTTTATCTCAGCAAGGCCAGATAAGAGTGGAAGCAATTTTCAGCAACATGATTTCTCACTCAGTAACAAATTCCAACTAATAACTTGCGAATTTTCATACGCATTATCCTCTTTTTTGGTTTGTATAGGGTGCAGCAGTTTGCCCTCTACAATATCGAATTGTATAAAAAGTTGATAAAACTTCTTCCTTCATCGATATTCAACTAGTGCTCCAGCATTATGCATCCTTTTCAACATCTTTAAGAGTTGGATCACCAATTCCATCTTCATTTATTGCAAACAAGCAATCACTCTCTGGCAAACATGGACTATCATAAATCTTGCAAATTCTAGTTTCTCCTCTGCCCTTCTTCAGGCTTAATCGGGTTGTGCTAGCATGCGCAAGTATATTTCCTCCAATGGGCTTTTTCGGGTCTGGGTTGAACATAGCACTTGGACCACCATCAACTTGGGCAACAACTTGGTTAGTGATAACAACAGCAACCCCAAATTCATCGGCAAGGCGTTGTAATGTGCGCATAAACCGAGCTAGATGATTCTGGCGTGATGAAAGTTCGCCTCGACCGCTGAAATCAGTTCTATAAAGAGAGGTTGCCGAGTCGACTATCAAGAGAGAGAATCTGGTCTCACACATCATCTGTGAAGCTTGGTTGAGTAATTGAAGTTGGTGGTCGGAATTATACGCGCGAGCATATGCGACATTATCAAGAACTTCCTCGCCGACAAGACCATAACGTTGGGCTACAGCCAACAAACGAACTGGTCGAAACGTGCCTTCGGTATCAATATACAAACACTTTCCCTCTCCGCCCCCCATATCAAAGGGAAGTTGACAAGTAACGGCTAAGGTATGGCAAAGTTGGCTCTTTCCTGTCCTGAACTCGCCAAATATTTCCGTTATTGACCCAGTCTCGATCCCCCCGGCGAGTAGAGTGTCAAGCTGCTTTGATCCTGTAGTAATGCAGATTAAGTCAGCTCTTCGTGCATGGATCTCTGTCGCTGTTGTAAATCCCATAGGCACAATTTTGATTGCTAAAATGGCATGAGGTTAGCAACTGGTGAGTTCACAAATTATTTGAGGGTAGAAAGAACCTTCCGCTAACACTCTTGCAGCTTTTTGTTCTGATATTCCCTTAATTTGTTCTAATACTTTCTTCGGTCTACATTGTATTAGTCAATTTGAGAAAACAACATGACCAAGCAAAATCTTAGCACAGTGTCAACATACGTGTATGCTACAGCTTCAACTGTGTGATACCCCCCGTCTATCAGCAATTTGATATCTTTGACAGTAAGGCCATTGACACCCTAGTGAACGAAATCAGACCTTCCTTTCTGTGGGATACCATGGGGAACATAGCTACCTCAAGAGTGGAAAGTGGAGTGGGTGCTCCAGGAGCAACAGAATTCCCATCTCCATAATCAGTAGCTTCATCCTCAGTCCCCATTATCTGAATACCATTTATTGCGGCTCACAATGCCGTTGTTGAGAGATTGTCACAGTGGTATTGGATCTAAATGCATGATGATTAGCAAGGAATGCGCTGATAAACTGAGTTCAATCAGGTTTCATACCAATGTGGCTGTAAGGGCTAATAAACCCATAAATTGGGTAGAGAACTTCGTAGGTGATCTTTCCAAGCTGACTTAATAGTTGATGCTAATTTCAATGGCCGAGATGGAGTCATAACACATAAATTGACTAGTTACAAATTCAAAGCTAAATAGTACTCTGTATTCCAAGAGTAATACTCCATAGTTCCTCTGTGGTTTGTGCTCTATAAAGTTAATGAGTTAGTTAACTAGTTAACTACAGAGGAGTAAACTAGTTATTAGTTACAGAGTAGTTAAGTTAGTTAACTAGTTAACTAGTTAGTTAACCTGTTGACCAGTTAGTCTTGGCAATGACAACTTCTTTTTGGGCAGGCTACCTAGTTTGGAGCTTGATGGATTTCTCAAGAACCAACATTTCTTTACACTTCTAATAAATAATGTCTTGGGTGGGATCATGGCTGTACAACAAAAATACTCCTGTGAGTATCTCAGCACCATCATTAGATGTTCTGAGTGAGGTGCAAGAACGTAAGTTGCTCCCACCAATCCTCAGTTGAGAGTGATACTGAGTCTTACTTAGTTGAGAATGCCCTGAAAGGTATATTTATACGTAACAAATATTCGGGCACAAAATGCACACCCATAATTGACTAAACTAATTTCAATGGTACTATAGCTGCAACACTCATCATGAATGATGATTTGGATGGCGCTGAACATGGCCTTAATGAGGGTGACTCCTCATTTCACAAGGTGTGACACATTGCATTGATATCCTATGCTTAGTTATTGGACTTCCTACAGAATCCTTGTTTAACCAAGATCTCATGTAGCTGGGAAAAGGGATTATTGCTTTCATCCGGGCAACATTAGGACTGGAACAAGATATAATGCGTGAAGGTAACCTTATCTACCTATGCTTTCTCTGTCAGATGCTAAAATAACTTTGTTTTCAGCTGCTGCGCAGTTAGCTGAAGCTGATGCAAGTGCATCGAATGATCAACGCAAATCCCAACACAAAGCCCATACACTCAATGCATATCAGTCTCCTATTTACAGCCCTGGGACAGAATATTTGTTGTGTCAAATTATGGCACAGCTCATGGCGGCTTTAGTTGGAGTTTTAAATGAAAACTTGATGGAAAGTATAAAGGCTTTTTACAAGCTTAGAAAAGCGTACATCGCACTTGACGGGATAATGCATATGGAGAAGGACTATCTAGATCGTACTGGACGCCATTCTGCCACTGCCGAAAATTCCAAGGCAACTACCTACAATCCACTCGGAATACCAACCTCGGCCGCGCGGTCACCTACGGTCGAAGGTTCGAACCAACAAGGTGGGCTTGAGGGGCACAAATCAGATACTCCGTCTACTTGCAAGGTTCCAGGTCAAATCCCTTTTCTTTCTGGAACTGATATTCTAGCTAACCCTATAGACGAATTTATTCATTCGGGGGCAAACCTCTGCTTTGGCCTTCTACTACTACTCATTTCGATGGTCCCACCTGCCTTTAACAGACTTCTCTATATTACCGGATTCAAGGGTGACCGATCCCGCGGTTTGCGGATGCTTTGGCGGGCTAGCAAATTCCATAGCCTAACAGGGGCCGTTGCAGCCGTTGCTATTCTAGCGTTTTACAATAGCTTTGTGCGTTGCTGCGACATATTACCTGACTCTTCTAGCCAAAGCGAGGACGACGTTGATGGATACCCAAGAAAACGGCTCAGTGCTTTATTAACGGAGATGCGAGATAGGTTTCCTAGAAGCCAGCTATGGCGCCTAGAACAGTCAAGGATGGAAGGGGCACAGGGGAATTTAGAAAATGCCTTACAATTGCTTATGAGTCCGGTGGAAACCCCTCTTAAACAAGTTGAGGCCCTTTGTGTTTTCGAACGAAGCATGAATGCTATGTATCTTCATCAATACGAACTCTGCGCAAAGTCTTTTCTTGAAGTATGTTTACGCTTTTGGTTTCGGGAACTCAATATGTACTTTGAAACTGATTGTCATGTCAGTGCGTTGAGCTTAATTCGTGGTCGCATGCCCTGTACTATTATATCGCTGGGGCATCCCATCTTGCGCTTTACCGCCAGAATCTCGGCTACGCTCAAAACGTTGCAGCTGGACATGCAGCAAAAGCAGTGGAACTCTTTCTCAAGGTTCCACAATATGTTGGCAAGAAAAGGTTCCTGGCATCTCAACTTCCCTTTGACACGCTAGTGGCCCGCAAGATTGCCAAATGGCAGTCTCGAGCCAAACAATGGAACGTTGATTTTATCGACGCTATTGGGGTAGATCCCATCGAGGAAATGATTTATTTTTGGAATGGTCACAGCCGCATGTCGTCGGTGCAATTGGAGAAATCTCTAAGGAATCTCAACTGGTTCGAAAGTGAACAAAATAAAACATGGGGTCGTGAAGACCTTGATGAACGAGCCATCCTTGCCTTACTCAGGGCCTCCATTTTTCGCTTCCTTGAAAGGCATGGGGAAGCCAAGGAAGTTTTGCAATCGCAAATTCTTTGCCACGATAAAGCGAATTTTAAGGGTCACCTAAAAGATGACTGGACCTGTCCATCAGCGCATTATGAGATGGCTGCTAATCTGTGGATGGAACGGCGCGTCTGTCAGTCGTGTGATATGGACGCCAGTCCTGACCTTGCATGCGTGAGCAGTATCTGCTCAGGCCAACAGAGGGAATCAGGTCGCGATTGCTTCGGGTATTCAAATGGTGATAAACCACGCACTGCCTTTGTCGTCGAAGATCAGGACAAAGTGCAAGCATGTAAGAAATGGCTTGAAAAGGCCGCTAAATGGGAAACTTTTGAGCTAGACGCCCGGGTAGGCCTGAAGATTGTCATGGCGCAGGATACCCTACGGACGTGGGAAGAATCCCGGTTGCAGCAGCCTTGAAATATTTTTGTTTATCAGTATTTAAGATTATGCTCACAGGCCAAGTGGTCTCATGTAAATTTGACGGATGGCGTGGGATATTCCAACCGCGTCTTTTCGAACATGCTATGCAGCTAACTTGTGGAAGAAAATGGACCGTGAGCTAGTATGGAACAATGTCTACTCCGTATTCATGTGCCGTTCTCCCTTGTATACAGAGAGTATACTCAACTAAAACCGTCACCCTGACTATCGAGGTCTATCATACTAGCGTCGCCGTATTCCCAACTTCCATTTTGAATTCTCAGAGCTCTATCCAATTCCAGCTGGTATTCTCGCCTTAGGTCATCCAAAGTGAAAACCACGGTTGTTGCGTTCTCTTTCCGATTGGGTTTGCGTGTGGAAGCATGAGCCGAGTCTAGCTCATTAGGCCTCGTGCCAATTTCGGACCCTTCCGGTGCCATAATGGCGGGATTTGAATCCGTCAAAGGTAATGGAAAGGAATCGTTCGGACTGCTTGTCACAAGTCCCTGGATGTCTGGATCAAATGTAGAACCCAGAACGCCTTCTGCATTTTCATGCCTATCATCTGGTTTACCGACACTAAATTGTGAGTCTGTTGGATTAAATAAGATATAAGCCTCACTATTCCCCATCGATGCTAACAGGTTAATAAGCGCAAGTAGTTCACTGAGAAGTTTTGTGTTCTGGAACTGGGCAGCATTCTCCTGTGACCCGGTGTTCACTACAGCTCCTTCAGTTGTATTTGGAGCAAAGTTTGCTTCGCGCAAGAGGCGAATCTTTCGATAGGACACCTTTGCGGCGCTCTGCATATCATTTCTTGCAATGTGGAGTGCCTTTAACGTCGAGAGATAGTCTGCTGGTTCCGCAGGTAAAACTACCGTAGGGGATCCCGCTCGATGCTGCTCCGTGACCGAGCCAAAAATATCGTCTAGTTGAGAAATCCCCGGCTCCAGAGACAACGGGAGTGCCAAAGTTGTCCTCAAACCGGCTGTAGTTGATCCATGCGCATGGAAAATCGAAGCCATTAGAGACCTGATGGCTGGCCGACGAAACGCCGGATCCCGATATTGCGAAAGGGTCGTGTAAGCTTCGTCGAACTGACAAGTTCTTAAGTAGGAATGAAATACGCGAGGCAGCAAATCCATGCGGAGAGAATAAGGTTGATCTGAATCGCCCTTAATCGGTTCCGCAGCTTCTAAGGAGAGGCGCGCAAAATAAGCAACATGCGTAAATGATCGGACTTGTTCGAAAAGATTCAGGATATGGATGAAGTAATTTGGAAGGCCGCTATAGAAATGGCTCGTTGCTAGGCCATTGATAAGCCCGGATGACATTCTCTGTATATCACCTATTGGTTTGCCGTACGCTAGGTTTGGCGATTAGTCAATCAACATCATACAAACCTTTTGTACTCGGTACTTACATAGCATATATGATGCCCTTTGAAAGCTGAGTGCTGCGGCGTCAAAATCACGCCGGGCTAGATGAAGGCGACCTTTAATGTAAGTAGACCAGCCTGTGTCTGGTTGGAAGCATGAAAAGTCCATTGCAAGTTGGATGTTGCTATGAGCAAGTAAATTGCATTGGATAAAGACTAAAGCGTTGTCCAATGCCACACTTTCTGGCAGCATGGTCCAGGAAACAACGTCGCAAATTTGTTGCGTCAAACCATGCATCTGGGAAATGCCAGAAAATATACATGGTTTGATATTCACTGCGAAAAGATCTTCTAAAATGGAAATAGTGCGCTTATTGAGTTGCTGATATATCCCTGACTGACTTTCAGCTTTCGCATGTGGAGATGGTTCACTGCTTCGGCATGGCGAGGACGCCCGAGCTTTCGACCCGAGCCAGCTTAAAACCTCATACTCCCGAAGCAACGTAATAAGCGCGGTAAATAATTCTGGACCGTTAAATTCCGCGATAATACCGTCGCGTCGCAATTCCATTTCAATGAATACAGTCAATAAAAGTAGATCGTAAAGTATTTGTCTGGTAAAATGTATGTTTTCCACCGTCCCCGCCATGATAGCGGCGCGTCCAAACTCAGTAGACAAACAGCTTGAATTCTTTCCGGAGAACCCGGAAGGGATTGTTTCAATGACTGTAAAAAAGGCATCTGCATGTAGTTGGTCGAAGCCAATCGAACGTTCAATATTCTCGGAGACAATGTCATACATGCGATCAGTCAAAAGATTCACAAATCCACATCGAGTATGGAAAGCTAGGATCCGATCAACGGCGGAAAGCACGGGCTCCATTAAAATCTCGGTGTTCAAAGCGTTTTGACAGGCTTGATCGAGTTCGGGTGTCAGCGCTTTTCGAAACGAGGCAGCTAAACTAATCAATTTGGTCGATTGATCCGGGCATCCCCCCAATTCGAACGCAAGATTGCGATGCGGCCAATTTAAAGCAGCAAGGGATAGTTTATTGCTGAGTGAGCTCGGCTCATTGTGAAGGAGAATTTCCGTACTAGTGCATTCTCGGACCAAAGAATAACCATCAGTGAAAGTTACCCAAGGGAGGTTGGACAGACGGTCGTATGCAAGCGAAATCGGCTCGAATCTTCTTTGGTTGACTCCTTCGACTAAATGCCAGAGTTGGTGCCAGGCCGCATCTAAATCCGCGAAATATTGAGAGAAATCAATGGTCGCGTCTGAAAATTTGCGCACGGTAATAGAACTTTGGATGGCCTGACATAAACGTTGCTGCAAGCTGTCAGACTGATCCCCATTGTCGTGCCCCACACGAGGTTTGTCGGATTGCGAAAATGCTGCCAACGCGGCTTCCAGCACCACGGTAGGGTAAGCCCTAGTCGAAAAAATATATTCCAACCACTGTGCTGTAAGGTCCGCCATGCCTGGTTGTAAAATAGTTTGTGGGGGTTCAACATGAAGCTCTAACGCTGTTTTAGTCCAATTTTTGAGCCATGCATTTGGTAGGTCCAATAAATCGAAACGCAGAGTGTATAGTTGATAAAATGTATTGCTTCTCCACAACACCCATAATGTCATATCTCTTCCGTCATCTGTGGGCGTGATCTCAAAGTCGATAATATTCCAGAAAAGACTTCCCGAAGGCAGGGGGTCCATGACCGTCAACTTGGTGTCGGGAAACAGGTCTTCGAGATCTAATTGGGATGTTAATGTCCCTTTCACGACCCAAAATTTGAATTGGCCATCGTCATAAGGAGAATAGGTAATCATGTAATACATGCCACCCGCTAAAGCCTTCGGGGCAGTAAAAATCCGGATAAAGGAGCAATCGGCTGCATTAAGGTTGATGGGCAGTGCATCCTGCTGTTGGGCTGTCCTATTAAGGAGATCCTTTGAAGCAACAAGCCGATGATTAGCTAAATTCCAAGCCTTGATCGAGTGGTTCAAGGCGACGACGAATACGAAAGACTGATCAGGTGTGGTAGCAATAGCATTAGCCGTATTGGAATCTAACTCCCTGCCATGGTATTGAATGGAGTTGGAATTGCTCCATTTAACCAGCCCGCGCAAGGAAGTTCCCCAAGACCTTTCGTCAAGAGTAAGAAGGGACCAATTAGAACCTAGAAAAAGAAACTTAGAAACAGAGAAAAGATAGTAGCTAGGATTTTGTTCTATTGCTTACCATCATCGTCGGATTTCCGAGTTAGGCGTAGTAGAGCGCCACTTTGGAGAGAGATATATAGCTCCAATGGGCTACTTGCATACAAACGATGAGGATGGGTGAAATTCAGTGGCGCAGGCCGATATGGTCTACACCAATTAAGCACGTTTCCATCTATTTCGTCGCTATTCAAAAAGTAATCGAATCGTAGGTCCAACGTATATAGCTGTCTGGAGGTCGTGATCACAAAGATGTTCAGCAAATCGAGATCCTCTCGATCTGTGAGGGCAACACCATGCGGAATAATAGCATCAGGGAACTCAATCCGCAGTGTAACAGCTGCTTCTTGGGCGATATGGACGCTTTTCGTCAGATCAACCGAACGTAACTCGAGAGTACGGTCGAAATCCACAACTTTCCATGATATGGATCGGGGATAGCTCTTGCGTTGACAAAAGTAGACAGCGCCCAAGGTCGCTAAGGCTTCAGCCGCGAAAATGTCCCATTCTTGTCCAACTACCCCTTGGGAACGTCGTGTTTTGGCCAAACATTGAATTCTGCCATGTGGATGTTGTGGTGATGGGACAGAAATGTGAACAATTGTTGTGGTTGGCGAAACGTTGACCTTGGTCTCCTTGTAAATTTTCAACATTGTTTAGGGAAAGGGAATGGAACAGCAAATGCCACTGTTCTCATAGAATCTCAAATGCCCATGATCAATGTTGATAGTGGGATACACAACTGTGGTTGTGGTTGCATAGGTTGAAAGTTGTTGCTGAGGATTCAGAGAACTAGACATTTATTGTTTGCTTTGGATACTAGTGTCTATCTTAAGGCTGCCTCAAAATATTCAAAGTACGCGCCTCGAATTTTCGCGTCATCATTGTTGGTGTAGCGCGCTAACCCCTTAAGGCTTAGCCTTGGATGCTTAGTGCCACTAGTGTTCTTATCTTGAGAGACTGTGCCATACCAGTGATATGTGGTGCTGAATCAGCGGAATCTCACCACCATGCAACCACCATCCACAGATGACAGATGAAAACTTGTCACCATTACAGCAGCTCATAGCAGCCACATTGCAAATAAAAGATTTTAAGTTTGTAGTTTAGCCAGTCAAGAATTCATAAATTACATTATCTTGATTATGAATGGCTTAATTTTTAGATCAGATGATTTAGTGACTTTACTTTATTAATAAAAGACTACAGTCTTCACTTTTTGACACAGTCATCTGATTACAGATTATATTTTTTATAAAATATACATTTTTTAGTCTGACTTTCTTTCTGTAGCACTCTTTCTGTATTTGTTTTGATTTCATCTCTCAAATTCATCTACTATTAAACTCATCTATTAAATCTGTTAGTTTTGTTTTTTTACACTTTTACTACAGTTATAATTCTGTTTGCATGATGTCTTCACAGTCATCTCTATAATCTGTTGTGAATTTCTGTATAAACATTTGTGAAACTATAGAATTCAACATCAGATATAATTCAGTATCAACTATTAAATTCAGATAGATATATTCTTCTTTTTATAATATGAGAATGAAAGATGGATTGTGATACAACCTCAGACTAGACACAAGAATGAAAGAAGAAGAATCTAATAAACTGTCATACTAGATAGATTTAATTGAAAATACTAAACATGGTGAAGAAAAGAGAGATCTGAAGTGATTGTGCAATATATACTCTCTTGCTTTGAGCTCTTGCTCTACTAACAGCAGTTATCTGAAAAATCTAATTATATGATTCTGAGTCTGATGCTTCTTTATCACTCTGCATCAGATTCTAATATTATTCTTCTAAAAAATTCAAACATGTTCTCATATTAAATACTCTGACTATAGATCTTTTTATTTCATGCTTTTAATAAATTATCATCTGCACATTCTGATAAATTTTTCTCACTCTCTCATGTCTTCAGTTATTTTATCAGTCATTTTAAGAATTCTGATTTCTGTGAGTTGCTCTTGTGATAATCTCAAAATTAATGTGATGAGTTCTTAAAATTCTGTATCAGATATTATTACAGATTATAATTATATTCTAATTATTTAATTTAGTACTGCAGCTTTCTTCAGTGAATCTGATTTATCAGAATTTGCTTTATCTTTTATTTGTTTTTTCTGTTAATAATTAATGATTCTGACTTCTCATACTCTTATTCTGATAGAGAATTTATTGCTGCTTGATGAAGTTTGTCTGAGAAGAATATAAAATATATTTTTATATTTAAGAATAATTTCAGATAGTAGCTGTGCTTTATTTTTTTTACTTTTAAAAAGAATTCAGTGTTCTGCTCTGTCAGTTTTCTGCTAGAATAATTTATTGAGTAATTATATAAAATCAAATAAATCTGATCTTTTATTTCAAAGTTGAATTTCTAATAATAATAATTAATCTATTTTTTCATTATTTTCTGAATCTTTCACACTCTTTATTGTGTGAATTTTTATACTTTTTTAAAAGCTCATACTTAATTTTATGCTTCTTGACAGTTTAAGTGCTCAGTGTGTGATGCTTCATCTGATAAAAACTGTCAGTTGAAAGATGTCTGTAGCTTATAATTATCTATTACTAAAAAAAGAGATGCATCTATTAAAGTGTGCACTGTGACAGCTGTAGTATGATTCATGATGAGCAATAAATCATCTCAATTGTCTTAATAATAATTTACATATGATTATAATTGAATTGCTAGATACTGATTAATGATTTCAGTCTGATTATTTATTTATAAATAATGTGCTGTAGAAAGTTTCAGCTTGATTCTCAGAATTTTGATAAACTCTTTTCAGAAGTCAGACATAAACTGAAGTTTTCAGTCTGATATAATTAAATCTGATGCTTTATAATATCAGTAGTAATATTTTGTAAATAATCTTGTGAACTCATACATGTTGATTTTTTTTGTGATTGAAATTAAGATGAATTTCTTGCTCAGTCTATATATAATAATTAAAATTGCATTATGCTTTTATTTCATCATGAGAATGTTCATGAAATTCATTAAGATGTGCTGTCATGTATAATAAGAAATTGATAGTAATTTTAGTAGTTCTGATATCTTATCTCTTAATATCTTGATTCATTAACAGACTCAGTAGTTGTTCACATAATAGTTTATGTTCTGCTATAATATTAATCAGTAATACTGTTTCTTAATCAGAATTCAAGTCTTCTTTTTATTTGAATAGATCACTAATGACTGCTCATGAATTTTTTTAATTAGCTGTATTAGTAGAGATTGTTAGAGTCTGATGTGGAATGGTAAAGAAGTGTTGAACTTGAGATCATGTGATCAAATTCTTCAGATGACTGCTGTTAGTAGAGCTCAGAACAAGAACTCAGAGTAAGAAAATATATATTGTATGATTACTCCAGACCTCTCTTTTCTTCATCATGTTTAGTATTTTTGTTTAGATCTATCTAGTATGACAGTTTATTAGATTCTTCTTCTTCTTTTCTTGTGTCTAGTCTGAGATTGTATCATAATACTAAACATTATCTTATCTTGCTCTTTTTAAAGTCTTTCAGTTAAAAGATTTCAAGCAGTATTGATTATAACTTTGAGTGTGTCAGCATCTGCAAATAATTCAAACTTATCATCATTAAAAAATCAGCTGTTGAATCTTTTCTTGTATTAATGAATCAATCTAACTTCAAGCTCATAAGAGAATGAAATGAACTGAATTTTTTTTGAACACTTTAATGCTGCTGTGAAACAGAATGCACAAGTGGTTTATGATGAAATCAGCAGCATAATTCATGAAATTTGAGTGCACAGCAAATAAATTAAAAGAAAAGCTCAGAATCAGATCAGTGTTTTGAAGAAACAAGTAACTGTTCTGATTGAGAAATATGATTGATATAAAAAAGCATGTGTGACTGTATTACTGAATATATAGAAATGAGAAAGCACTTCTGCTTGTTTAACTAAATTCAGAGAAAAGCAATTGATTAAGATTGATAATCTCAAGCATCTCACAGATGGAAAGAAACTCAAGTTTAAGTATTAATTTTTCAGAATGAAAAATAAACTGTGAGAGAATGCAGATCACTTTCTCACTGAAATTAGCAAAATTATTTATATTAAGAATTGAACTGATGAGAATGCTGCACATCACATTGCTTTTCATATGTGAGAAGAATATTCAGAACATTATCAAACAGCAGAGAAAGTATTCAAATACTTGAAGAAAATTTATAAGAATCTGAACAAGCTTCTCAATGCAAAGAATAATTACTGTTGACTAATTATAGAAATAATAATAATTATCATAAATTTATCATCAAGTTCTTGCACGATGAGAGAAGCAGAAGTATTCAGAGGATTATAAGAATGATTTAT